TATATACCCTGTGCTCAGTAACACAAAAATGTGTTCGCGGCACAAAGGCTATAATATTCAATTTTAACCACAGGTACGTATATTCGTACAGATTGCTTATAATGGCAGTAAATAGGGACATTGGGAAACGATGCTTCTAAAATCGAAATAAAAGCCAGCAAGGCCATCGAAGCTGCGCATGTGTGACTAACCTCCTACAGCAAAAACATCCATTGAGTACGCTCGGTCGTTTAGCTTATCGTTCACATTTTGTACGACAGAGATTTGGTAGCTAAACAACGTATAATAATAAGAACACATTAATCTACGTATTGATCTCTAGCTAGCTGTGTGCTGTTGCTAGCGCCATTAGATACATCGACAACGACGCCCTCTGTTCGTGCTCGATTTGTTAGCGGAAACCGCCTCGACTTAATTTAATCCAATTGATAGTAAATGGCGAGTATTCCAACGAGAATTCAAATGCTGTTCTTCCTTGCGGTAGTCTGTATTTTCAACTAGAGTACCAACTAATTCTATCTGTGCCGGAATATACATAAATGGCCCTTTGCATCACTTCTCGGGACGGTAATGGCAGAAGCTCTGATCAATGTTCTGCAAAACATTAAATCATGGCAGCAGCAGTAGTAATTTCCTCTTGCCTGAGAGCAGGAACCAGTCGACTAGTAATTGTAATGGTGACAACGACGGCGTTGGCAGGCTGTTGTGAGCGGAACGTGAACATCTTGGGTATCTCCTCAGACCCTTTCTGCCTATCTAGTCGTTTGCGAGGGGGCAAGAAACGGTTATTCATCCAGTTAGAGGCCACGAGAGCGGTCCTGTAGGCGGGTGACATGCGATAAATGTCAAGGAACGAAAGGCCAACCAAACAGTCTCTGGATATGATACTATATAGTGTACATCGACGACGATTCCCAGGGGAACCTAGATGGCTACTACTAGAAGTATATAAAAAAAAAAAAATAATCGACTAGTGCTTGATACGACTACAAGAACATTTGTAGAGGCGTGGAGCGCTTGTTTCAGGAGGTAACTAATTGGGGTCTAAGAAATACAATAGTTGTCTTATTTGCGCACTCACAGACGTTACGTACTTTCTTATGAATGACTTCTTGAGTACTTTCAATCAATGTAGCAGTATTACTTACATGGGAATAAACCAATGCAGGCTGTGTTTACTGACCTTATCCTAAATTAAGCCTATGCTACTCTTCGCATTCATGGACCTGAGCACTGTTGTTTGTTTAAATTTAAACATGCTCATAATTTGCTGTAAAGTACAGGGACCCACCAGGGGCATTTTCTTACCATCATAAAATGACGTTTCCACTATACAGGTCGTCTGTGGCAGCCGCCGAATAGCCCATAGCATTTGAGCGCTTTGCTCTAACAACACTAGGGTCTCCCGCGTCTTTGACATGATTATTATTGAACTTGTGTCACTCTCGGCACGGCATCCGAAACCACGGCATATGACATCTGAGGAGTTATAAGTGACATCACCTAAGCGTCCGATCGACCGCTAACAGTGATCCGCTTGGGACAGATCCATTGCAAAACGTTCAGAAACGTTAGGTTTTACGAATTTGCTCCTACCGTTATCTTTGTTACTATGCCGACATCAAGGTGTGGAAACCTAGGCAACAGCACTTCAGTTCGACAGCGTTAACATCGTATACTGTAATACGATAAAATCCAAATGTTAAATAACGGGTATTTTGTGAAATATCTCGATAGCATTGAATTATGCACAGTCAGAAACGGTAAAAAAAAAGGGAATAATTCGGACTAAGTACATGCCTTAACCAAGCTGAGTTCAGACGAAAGACGTTTGACCGCGTTTGACCTTGCATTTAGCCGTCACCGTGAACGAGCGATAAATGTAATAGGGTAACGATTTGTTATTAAGAATTGGCCATTTGTTGATGATTGGTAGGAATCGCTCGAATCAATCGCTCGGGTCGAATAAAGTTAGCGCTGCCCGTTTTTTTAATAAAAATCGCTATCCAAACGGGCTTATTCCACCATAAGTTAGTTCGTTTATTTAAGTAAGCCCTTCTACTACTGGCCTCTACTGACCGGACTAAAAACTAAATTTGCCTTGTCTGTCGTTGATACTCATCCTCCGTGCGGGCTTTTACACTTCATGAAGATGTGTAAGCTGAACTCGAACAGAGATCATCCGCGAAAATACCCTTACACGGCTGTCGGCGACGATGATTTTTTTTGGCGATTTGGCGACGCCGCTTGTGGGAATGGTGATATCGGTTGCCTACCTCAGCGGTGTTATACTAAATACGCCCATTTCATGGACAAGGTAGAGCAGTGCGATTTTAGCTAGTTCGTCATTAGAAAACAATGATAGTTCGTCATTAGAAAATAATGATACACAATGAGACCCATGCACCAAATCTATACATTTGTTGAGCTCCGTCGATATTTTACGGTTGGGCAAATCCGGGACTCTGTCTGCCAGAGTCGACCCTGTGTTTATATGTGTGTGTAATACCGGTTTCAGAGATGCACTCAAACTGAGTCACACAACGCAACGAACTGGACTGAAAAATTTTACAAAGGAAGCGACGGGTCGTAGATATCGAAGTCTTCTCACATGATTTCTTTTAAACTCCAAAATACGCATTACAATGGTTTACCAAATGACCATGGTTTCAACCTTCGACCGGGTCGACTTAGCTTCCACAGCAAACGACAGATTACTTATTTTTTTGACAGCTCTTGAAGTCATACTCTTTTATACCAGGCAACATTACGTTTGCCGATTTGACTTTTTATCCGTATGCAGACTGATTTACTTTATGGTGTGTCACTCAAATTAGCTAGTTCAGACTCCAGTGGAACGTCTTTAAGAATCTGGATAGATTCGTTTTATGAGACAGCCGCAACGCTTCCGTTCCTCACCTCCATAGAACTATAAAGATAACAATGGCTTCCTACGATGTGAAAATATCGACAGCACTGTCGAATGCGGAAGGTTGTATTTTTTCTAGCGTTCTTCGCGCAGCTTTAGAATCTGCTAGCATTCAGCTAGGTGATCAGAGTCGGACTACCCGACTCTGATCGATGCTAAAATTACCATGAATGATGAGCACCACGAGGTTTCCCTCTGCCTAACAGAATCTACGGAGTCCGAATTATTTTCACGCGGTAGGAAAAATATCGTCATTTATATAAATACCCTTAAAGTAGGAATCAGTTGCATTCCTTTGAGATCATGTGACCAAGCTTATAGATTAACACAGACATTAAAAATTTCAGCCATTTGAGATGATGGCAGTAAATAAGACGTGCAATTAATTGTGGAATTAGTATCCATGGCAGTATAGATATGGCCTCATTGCCCCTAAATATAGATTTTGACTCGGTGGTTCATCAACATAAGTTTCCTGACGCATGTAGTGTTATAGCTTTATATAGTTCTTAAGCAAAGAGTGCGAAATAAACTGTGGCGTCAGACACATGAGAGAATTGTAAGCATTCATGCACGGAAAACGAATCGTTACCACTACAACGGTCGAGGAACATGCATCTCGTAGCAATGATGCGTGCATTATGTTACGTCGCTGGTGAAATGTATTCTGTCGACTGATCTGGATGTTTTCTGTAACGAAGTATGAAGGTTGAATGAAGCCATACAGCTACGATAGTAATCGTGTTCCTTATTTTCTATATAGAAGGATTTTCGACATAGTGTTGAAGTAAGTAGCCAAATAAGACCAGAGGCGGCGGAAGATTTGAATGGATACTGCAGTTAGAAAATACTGGCTATAGGCCCTCACACATTCGTGACAAAATGCGATAGGTCAAGCCCGGTATCCGTAAACAATATTTACAAATTAAGTTCTAGTCATAAAAGCTGGCCGAAATAGACAGTATAGCTTACAGGTCATAACTCAAGGTAGATACAAATATTTACGGATAGTTTAACTAATAGCATTGGGACGAATACATCAGTCTATTATTTTTGCTTGCTAAGTCGGTTAGCCTTTTAAGGTTTACTCGGCGTCACGAAATGCAAATAATGCAGGTTCTTTACGCAAACAAAATGATTGTTACTGACCATTACGTTCTGTATATTCGCTAATTTCAACATACACCACGAACTGAGATACTTTCGTAGCACTGATATGTATACGTTAAAAAATATACGAAAGCAGCCATGTAGAATTAACTCTCATTTGCAATGTGGATTTTAGTTGTAGCAATCCTAATGACCGAACGACAGTAAAACATTAGACACATTTACCATCAGCTGCGGGAATGAAGTAGAGTATCTTGCGCTGCCTCTACTCCTGACTTACGTTTCCCCTCACTATACCGACATCCCAGCTGTCGTTGTTGTGTATTATTTACACATTTGCGAGTTTTAATTTTACTTAGATGTGCCTGATGCCTCAAGATATTTCCTCTTCACTCACAACCTAATAAGGCATACTTATAGACACTATAGTTGCATTAAGCGAAAAAAATTCTTCGCTGATACACCGTGTAGGTACGCACATATGACATTGATATAGTGATCAGTGAGATTTTTCGTCCATCTGATCATACCATCTACGCTTCTGAGCTTTTATGCAGTCAATAATCCCTTGGAGATTTTTATGCATCAGCAGCGTGTGTAATATCATAGCCGTAGTATTTTTACACGCCTAATTTTAGAAGGCTAGCGGCCAAACATAGTCGTAATGCCCGATCTTCCTACACTAGTTTCCTTATAGTGCAGAGCTGTGGTGAGGCGCTACAAGTATAAGCAAGACTTGAATATTCTCGTCTTTCTCAAATGGTTGCAAAATAGGTTTGTATTTACGCTCGTGAATTATTGAATATTCAGTGCCTAATAAAATTAAGTTCTGAGGCACTTCAGACGAAGGTTTTTGCATAAATCGTACACAAGTTATCGTAGTATTACTGTGTAAACGTGACTAGAGTTATTCGTGACCTCCGTGAACAGGTCATGAATTTATTACATTGACATATCTCCGCTTATAATCTTTTCCAACGAGGAACGCAGGATGAGTTACTTAAACAATTTTAAACACGAATATTTAAATAAATAGTACATTCGCTATAGCGTTTCCATTTACTTCAATGAATGAAAAGTCGCGTCATATACCTCGCGTAGTCTAAATCGATATTGGTCCATTTATCATCAGGTCAAACCTACCAAGGCCCCTGTATGATGCCTTGGATACCTTTTTCCAAATAGCGAAAATGTGGATTTTTCGGAGACTTGTCGTATTATTAAGAATGTCGTGTTACTGACATGACAAATAATCATGGACGGTTTATCAAAAGGATAACACTGCTCATTTAATTTTATCAATTTTAATTTAAAATTGGAGAGTAGATTTTATTTTTACATATTCTGAGCCATACTGGGTGTTGTTTCATAGTGCGTTCACCTTGTGGTGGTAATAATAGTAATAGTAAGAGTAATAATCTGGCTACACCAGCAGTACGAATGTGGCTGATCCTGTGTACCTTAAATTCTATATAGTTTTGCGTTGTTGATACAACTGATATCACTGCTCAGAAATCCTGCGCCAACGTCGTGTTTTCCTGAAGAAAGATGAATGCGAAGCTCCTATTATATACGCTGCATTTTCAATTCACATACTAACTCGTACAAACGTGTAATTGGATGTAAGTGAACGATAATTAAAGCGTTTGAGACTTGAAAATTAATTTCAATGCTCTGTGCATATAGTTACTGATATAATGGCAGATATCATGTCAGAGTACGGAGAGAGGAAGGAGGTGAAAAAAATGCCGTATGGTTCAGATCAATTCTGCCAAGAAATAGATTTGCCAGATGCTATCAGGGAAACATTAGTCGATATTCATTGTATTTATTATTGTTTTAATCGATAATTCTTCTGTAGCTGATTCGATTCAAATGGTCTGGGGCTGTTTTATCTTCGACCGATCTCAGTTGTCTCGCGAAACTGCTGTTAGCAGTTACGCACTTTAAAATCGTCGCACACTGGAAAGCAAGTGATAAACATTTTTCACACGAACCAAGTGAGCCAGAAGTGCACATATAGTGATTTGCGAACGCACCAGCTTCTGCAAGTGATGGGAAATCTTAACGACTTGGTCAGTTTTTCTAAATTATGTATATTTCGTGTAATTTTTCATTCAGTTCACTCCCATTCGCATATTGTCGTTCATTTTCTCACAGACTTTGAACGAGACACGAAGAACACAAGAGAATTTAGAAAGAACCCCGTTGTAAAACACAAGTAGTGAAAAGTTGCTTACGTTTGCAGCAGTTGTTTTTTGTACAGTACAACACTTCCACTGCGCACCAAATATCGCTGTATGCGCGTACAGCATGGCACAGTAAGAATGAACCACTAGTTATCTGAAGCCCTCTCGGCTTTTAAAGGTTCTTAATGGTCTGAATAGACGCAATCAATGGATACCTGCTGGGTTAAGGCGAACAGTGTTTCAATAATAGACATGTATGGCATCAATGCCTTCAGATCGTGCAGTGGATATGCGTATCTGGTTTTTAAGAGGTTTTCTTCGTACATTCTTTTATTTTGCCTAAACTCATATTTACGGATCGTAATGCAAAAGGTTTCGTTAGGAATCGACCTTTCTCTTTCTGTGCTACCGAAAAGTTGATGCAGGGGCTTACACTGGTTTGTACTCCGGTATAAATGTCCTTATGCCACGGAAATTTATTGGTTGATAAAAAGCCAGTATACTTGTGGGTCGTTTGAAAATGACATCATTCTAACCTGAGCACTTGTATATTACGATTGTTAGATTTCCGTCAAAGTCACTTGGACAAATGCAATTGTAAATCCAGAAAAATACATATTTTGGTTTTTTGGTTTTGTCATTATCACTATCCTATCTTATCACTATGCTGAATTGCAGACTGTTAAAACAATTTGACTGAGCCATTCCATCTAGCGCAGGTCTCGAGGGAATGTTGAACGAATTATGAGATAAATAGGTTCAGGTCATGATTCTAAAGTTTCAGTAGCAAGTTTATTTTTGCATCCGAAATATAATATACGCTGAATGAATTTACTATCCAATACTGCTATTCTATCTCTACCAATCGCTGAAAGAAAGACCTCTCAGTCATTGATTGAGCCTGCTAGGTAACGCAGCATTTTTAGACTTACAGCAAGTAATGCTGTGCATTCAATATCGGACCTGTTGGGGGCAATTCAGAGCCATTAAGAATTTTCTATGAATTCATTTTGCGTTCATTATGCCTGAGAGTAACGACATAATTAGATATTATTAGCACCTTATCCAAATAGCATCTTCTCTCGAGACCGTGGAAGATTTGCAAATTTGTAAATGTTTACTAAACGTACTCTGTTGTTCAAAGAAACAATCAGTTTACATCACTTCGATCATAACCGCTCGCAGATGGACAACACTTTTTCGTTTTAATACACATCAACCATGGTAGAATTCTGCTTGGTGGCTTGGTGAAAGGTCAGCTTGGCAGCAGCCTAGAGGACGTTGATTAGCCTTAACTTCCAAAGAGGGTAGTCGTCGGCGTTTTTCGACTACCTCTCTAACATTTGTAATGTACTTCGTGAAATAGCGATTCGTCACTAATTGTTGACGTTATCATTATTGTACTGCATACATACTATATGCGGTCAACTAGCGTACGGAAACCACGCATGCGTTTCGAGATCAGACGTAAAATTACGAGAATCCGCCTTCAGATGCTATTGAGCCCATAGTGAGTCCACTAATCCATTGCAAAATCGCTTTACTGTTCGAGTGAGAGAGAACAAAAAGTATAACTTTTCATTTTCTAAATCGGCTACCATTACGACTGCCATCGAATAACTAAAGCTCTATCGTAGATAGAAGACGTCTGCAAGCTTGAAAGTCGCGATCAGTATACTTTTTAGTTCTAGCTTAGTGCAAGCGAATATCCTGTCGGTTAGAAGTGGATGGCCGAACAAACTTTGTCCTCTTTTGATTGTGGGCAGAACTGGTTGAAGGCTGAGGCGGCCTAATTATACTCTTTTGTGCATAACACGTTCCTTCGTCCTGAGATGAATTGCTACTGAGCGAAAAAAACCAGGAATGAAAGGTTTGATACGGTAACAATCTAGCCCAGGTTTGAAAGTGCAGTTTACGTACCTTCAACCTGAAAATTAGCGTGGAACCTGCCATGCTTGAATGATAGCGAAATTTCATGGCAGAACACGGCAAAATAGCAGCCTATGTTGTTTAATATCCCACTCTTATGTTACCTCCATAGATAATACTTTATTAATAAGTGGGCTACTTTAATCTTTTGATTTGGCCTTCTTTTTACATACAACATCAGACTTTGAAGTCTCCTGAAGCAGTCTTTGCTAAAGTGTTGATGTTATCTGTTCCCTATTGTTATTGGTGTACAAACTTCGAAAAGGACCGGTTATCTTTTAACAGCGATAAGGAGAATATGTGTGCGGGTCATCCTAGAACATTGCAAACGTTGAGTAGCGTTATAAAAATTTCCCGAGGTATTAACGGTGATGAGATTGTAATACGAGTTCACATGAATTGTCGGCAAGATGAAATTATCAGGTTGACTGCCATTTGCTAAAATGCTAAAGACGTTGTCGTTAACGGCTACCGCAAATTAATGTGTGCATTTTTAGAAACATACTTTTCCTAGTTTGCGTATAAATGATTAGTATACATGGGTTGTTTCGTTGGCTCCCTTCCAAGGACGAGAAAGCGTCGAGTATTCAAAGGATCGGGCTGTCGTTTTGTCGTTCACCGTTATAGCAGCTATCGTTGGTTTGGTTTGTTTCAAAGCGGCGGGACGCAACCAATAAACTGCACGCGACCCAATGCGCGCAAATCTACTATACACGCACGCAAGAAACAAGAATGACACAACGATCTCAAACAGAGCGATTTAAGCCAGTCAGCGTTAACGCTGCAGAGACGCGTGGGCGCATTGCTGTTGAATACATTTACGGACGAAAATTTAATATTGTACGTATGATCATTTTCATTGTAAGAGGAGGAAAACTTACTATTTTTATCTATCTATGATTTCCTTGTACTTTCCTGTTGTATTTACCGTATATCTACAGTTTAGGATCGGCGGACGATTCCGGAAAAGCTATTCTTGCTATGCGTATCATCACATTCGTCAGGAGTATTGTCGAATAGAAAGAGATAAACAAGCTCGTGTGCCTTGTGAGCTCAGTGAGGCGAAGCATGTCATCACATATATTGTCAGGAGTTCGAAGTCCTATATCTAATTGTTTTGAAGTGACTATGATCGATCTCGCAGGATACATATGCGCGTACTTTTGAATGTCGATTTTTCTGGGAGGCATTTAATTAACCAGCTTTGTCATTCGTTAGATGCGGCTTGGCGAATAATTTTCTAACGGAGACAGCTCGTGTCCATTGCGATCCGGTTCCTTAAACTCACTGGTGTCTAACGGGAAAAGAAAGTCGGTTTTTCGCTCTGACCAAGTTCGATAAAATGTGTCAAAACTAACAATGATTTTAAGTAGTACAGTAAACTCGACTTCTAAATAATGATTATATGGATAAATATGGTTGAATTATTTGTTCTTGTGTCTTTCAGATGCGACAAAAGGATCAAGCATCCCGACAGGATCGATACATGCTGCTGACATTCGAGGAAAGCCCAGCCAATATAAAGGTAAGTTAAAATACCGCGTCGAAACTAAACAGATTCTATATGTCAGTGGTCACGGGAGGCGGTCTTGATTCCATTTTTGTCGTGTGAAGAGATCCTAAGATTGAGTTCAGCATTTTTTTTTAGTTATAACTTCGGGCAACTTGAATTAGGACTGTCGTACATATCCTATTTGGAAAATGGTCGTTAATTTTATGTTCTGTTATTTATTCTGGCTTTTCTCTTTAGCAAATAACGATCAATTTCGCTAATATGTTTACGAAAACTTCATCTTTGGTATTTAATGCAGCGTATTTTACCGCATTTGAGTTACTTAAGTATTCTTATTAAGTATTAAGTATTCTTCCTTAGGCGGGCTGGAAAGAAAACCATATGACATTCCTCTCGGAGTTGAAAAACCTTCAAGCGACAGGTCTTACGTCAACTGGAGGAGCCTTGAAGAATGCCTTCGATTTGCTAAACATGAACCGAATGCAGACAGGCATTGACACCTATGGCCAGGGAAGATGTCCCTTCTACCTTGAGCCGAGTATGATTGTTGTAAGTATGCAGTACTGATTGAAACGATTTTCATTGCGTTTTTTGAATAGCACCAGTTTGGGAATATATTTTGATAAACCGGAATTGTTACTGGCGCCTTCAATCATAAAACAATACGAACAATTTTATTTAGTGAGCTGATACGCAATCAACTGATCTCTAATCAAATTTTCATGCTGTCCTATCTTCTAGGTGTTGACGGATGGAAACAAAATCACTTCGCAATCAGGCGTACTAGATCAATTGAACCTACCCATGCATAGCCTTGTACCAGGGTCTGAGCTCACCAAGGAGCCCTTTCGGTGGGACCAGCGGATATTCTCACTTGTACTTCGTATGGCCGGCACGCTTCCTCCTGTAGGAGGGCCAGATGGTGTACCGCCACCTGACGTGGGCAATCCGCTCAATGACATGTGTGAGGTTACCGGCGGCCGATCTTACGCCATCAACTCGCAGCGACAGCTGTTAATGGCCATTGAAAATCTTGTGCAGTCAGTTCAGCCTGGTGTAGTGATCAATTTTGAAAAGTTCGGGCCTGATCCACCGCCGCCAGTTGGGCAAGCGGTAGGGGTAACCTTGATGGTGCTTATTCTATTGTGGAATGGTATCTTTGTTACAATCTAAAATGTGCCTGATTTTTGGGTTCAAAACTACGGCATGATTCCTTCACAATTCGTTTGTGCGTTAATGAAAATAGTGGTTGTTTTTCTATAATCGTGTTCTACAATTTGCGAAAACTTTTACAGCAAGGTCGACCTTGCGAACCGGAAACCACTAACCGGTATATCATGATCAATTTAACAAATTGAACACTGTTTCATATGTTCTTCTTCATTCTTAATTTTTTGTGCTTTGCAGAATGACAATGACGAAAACGTCCTTCGTAACGGTGTAACGAATCGTCCTTCACCAACTCCGTTCGGTTCGCAATCAAATTCGTCACAAAGCTCGACTGGATCAACGAGCTCACAATCGCCTCCGAGTCAGTTACCAGCCGAGATTAAGGGCTGGCAAAGCTGTCGGAAGCTCATCTACGTCCAACGATCAGTCGTCAAGGGCTATTCGGTGGGGCACTGGCCGTTGCCAGAATCGTTCTGGCCGGATCACAATTCGCCGGCACTGCCTCCACGCACGGCGCATCCCCTCGTCCGCTTTATGTGCACCGATGCTGAGCCGATGGTCATTGAAAGCTTGCCATTCGATAAATACGAACTCGAGCCTAGCCCGCTGACACAGTTCATTCTCGCCCGCAAACAGCCAACGGTTGCGTGGCAGGTGTTTGTGGCCAACTCCCATAAAAATTCCGACTTAGGCCATCCTTTTGGCTACCTAAAGGCCAGCACGACGTTGACCTGCGTCAACCTGTTCGTGATGCCCTACAATTATCCCGTCCTTCTTCCATTGCTGGATGATCTATTCAAGCAGCACCGTTTGAAACCGCCCCCAGAATGGAGAGACAAGTAAGTTAGCTTCTTTTTACCATTATATCTTCTTTCTATCGCGCAGAGCCATCTAGAACCGGTTTCGAGGATGTTATTTTGATATAATGTTATTTTAGGTTTGAGACAATAAAGACTGAAATGATAAAAGATGGTTCAACATTCTCATTGCTGAGACCAGATAAGCTACATCCAAATTATCAGGATTATAGTACGACAATGTTATAAATATAGCTGTTGCTATCCACAATATATAGATTTTGGTTTCTCGCTAAGATACTCTTTCATGCGGGATACATTCAATAACGATTAATATGATTGTCGTATTTGTTGTCGTTCCGTAGATTTCAGGAGTATTTGCACAATATGCCTGTGTATTACGCAGGTCCATTGAAACGAGCCTTGCAACGGATGGGGGCACCGAATCTCGTACCAGAGCACTTGGAGGGCCAGTGTCTCAACTCGGCCGTGGTCACCCAGCTAAAAAAGCTGAAAAACCAGGCCAAGGCCGAGTTTGAGAAGCTATGTTCCCTCGTCGGTAGCGGCAAACGGCCGTTAGCAGAAAGCATGCGGGTCACACCGGGCGTTCAACGACCATCGGGTGAGGTGCCGAAGTTGACGGAACTCAAGCTCACGTATTCGCCTGCCTTGAAGGATCGATTCCTGTCAATCCGCAGCGAGCTTAACGATTTCAGTGGCTTTCAAATCGCCGTACAGAAAAGTTCATCGGTACGGAAAAGCGCTCCGCAAGGTGACATGTTTCGAAATCCGTTCGACATCCCGCGCAGCCAGCTACTAAATCAGATCTGGCGAATGAGGGCCAACCTTTTACATCTCGGCACAATTCGTCTTCAGGATGACGAGGCGCTTCATTCATTACCAATTGGCCAAATGGGTAACTATCAGGAACATCTGAAACGGCAAACGCCGCCCCTGAGAGAAATCGAGTCGACGCCAGTTCGACAACACATGTTCGGCAATCCTTTCAAAATCGATAAACGAATGATGGTCGACGAGGCGGATGCTCCGGACCCACAGGTCGGACTGGCCAACTCCACTTCTGGCTCAGGGCCTGGCGCTGGGCCTAGCCGAAAACGACCGGCGGACCCACTGACAAATCAGGGTCGACCAAAACGGATTAAGGGACCGTTGCCCAAAGATATCACGTTAAGACCGAGATCACCATCCGTTGGCAGTTGCGGCAGTCTTTCACCACTACCTTCGCCCCCAGCAAATCCACTCCCTCCGTCGCTTCTAGCTGGATCTACGTTCATTTCGGGTTCGACGCCGGCTGTGGCCGTCATCGTCCGTTTGCAGGTGCCTTCGTCCAACGCCATGGGGCTACAGCAGAGCGCGCCCGCAGGCCTCATCAGCATTCCGGGAACCAACGGTGATGTTAAACCGCCGCCTTCCAATAACAACAATATAGTCAAGCCTGAGTCAATAGCTGTGGAAACAAACGGTAGTATTTTTTTTCACTACATTACTCATACTTCTCACTGCTATTACAATGATAATACTAAGGCTGCTTTACTAAAATGGTAGCATACACGCTTTTCCAATTTATTGTTATTCCTTACTTATCGCTCATTAATTCGTAATCGGTAGGATGTTCGCTTTCTACGGCGGTCGCCCCAGCGAGTGTGGCGTCATCGCCGAGTGCCGCTCCCGTCCCGGTAGTCGTCTCACAGCACCCCCTCATGCAACTTGTACATACCACACATCCTCAACCTCCTAGCCTAGGTGGCGGCGGTCCACATGGACCGCTAACCAGTGGGGGTGCGCCTATGTTGACCGGTGTAACCGGCGGCGGTCCTAACGCAATAGTCATGAGTGGGGAACTTAATCTCGCGCAGGCAGGGCCTCCACCTAACGGCAACGTCGTGTTGCCGCCCCAGCAGCCGTTCGCGCGGAGTAAGAACAAAGGCAACAACAAACTATTGAACGGCTTTTCTGACGACAGAAGAGATATCGTCATGTTGAGTCGTGAAGAGTGTGATCGAATCACGAAGAAAGCTATCAAATGTATACGACGACCAGGAAAAGGTAAGCTTCATGTAGGCTCATTTTAGTTATGTCCATTTGTGTCTCTCTTTTTCAAAGGTTAGATGAAATATATATGTGACAGAAGCATGTTGTTTCATGACTTGCTTGCGAAGCTATGCTTACACTTGTTGTCCTATCCATTTGTGTTGCTTCGTTGCAGACTTCAGTGAATTGTTTGCCCTTCTAGCAGACGTCAGAGGCCAGCCTTCATTTCCGGCTATTGTTGAACGGCTCGTTATTGAGGCTAACCGTTTCAAGCGAAAAAATTTGGCAGACCAGCTGGCTCGCCAGTTGTCGCCAATAGGCAGTTTCTGTATTCCGCAAAACGCATCTCATCCCTCCAACAACAACAATAACAACAACAATGGCTCTTCGCTTTGGAGGATGGCGGCCGCGCAAGGCGTGGTTAAAAGATGATCGCGAAATGCCCTATTATTACCAATTTATAACAGCGATTGATCTTGGTTCCAAAGCGATATCATCTTCCCTAACCATCCTTATATTGCACGTTGGTCTTCATGATTTGATCGTGATAGCTATCGATCCCATGCGAACAAAAAGCAGACGTAGGTTTAGACAATGAGTCGAAACACATCTTCGCAAGAAACACAAGTCTGACTCATTGTGAACTGATTCAAGAAAAGGATCAATCCAGTGGAGTATATAGTCGTACTTGCGTTTTTGTACAAAGAAGAACAAAGCAATGTCTTTATCGCATCAACGGGATATATATATATATATATATATATATATGTACCACCATTTTATTTACGCCGTGTGTATATGTATATACATACGACGTAGACGAAATGAAGTGGTTGATTATTGGGTTCATTAGTGATGAGTGAGAAGCTAAACTGAATGAAGATTACAGAGAGAAGACAAAATCCGAGTCAAAAAAGTGCAAAAAAGAAATATTGAACGAAAAGCTTACATAATAAGGGCATCGAAGGGCACACGGTCACTGACAGCTCTTGAATTTGCGAAAAAAATTATTAGCCTTTTTCTTTACCTATAAAAACAAGCTCTGTTGACCTAGTATACAATTGAGGCAACCGAAGGAGCTCAGGAACTAGGTCCTTGAAAAAGGACATAAATCGAACCTCTCGAGCATGTAGGACTTTCCGAGTAATCGCTCTAAGAACGACCGTCCTACCTGCAAAATCACACTTCTTGAGCTCTTCGCTACCGAAGGCGCACCAACAAGCGGCGACAATAATCGCTTAACCGAAATAGTTATATATTCTGCGAATGTGAGATGATACAAGGAAATAGTAATCTATGTATAAATATTATGTATAAGTGTCAAAGAATACATTTTGATGGACTACGATCAGACAACAAATTCGACAACTGATCTAATGAATCGACTACGATTAAAGAGTAATATTATTCTTTATCATTATATTAATATACAATTTATGTAATTTACTAAATGAATTGTCCGCATGCGAATCATCCCCAGGATGATTCGTTATTATAAACAAGACGAGAAAATGGCATCAATAATTTAGCAGAATACGTAGAGCGGACACCGAATGTGCAAGGCAGGAAAAACACACTGCAACTGTTAAAACAACTTCATACAACAGTAAATAGGGCTTCATAGGTAGAGTAAAGCAGTCAGCAAAGCGAGATAATAAGGTGAGATTATATAGAAAGCTAAACAAAAACATGACGCCTCTACAAGCTGTATTAGGACGCGGATCAAAGCACTCAAGTTAGGGAGCCTGTGTTAAGTGCAGATTACGAATGGAGAAGCGGTGCGAATTGGGGACCGAAACGCTACTTGTGTAAGTCTTGGGAGAACGAAGTGTGCAGTAGAAAAGCTAACTATTGTATCTTTGTGTATTTTGCTGAAAACAGATGATAGGTAGCAAGATATATGGCTATTATAAATAATAGCGAGTAGGTAGTCAAATATAAAAATGTTATATATAAATACAATTTGTACAAAGATCTGTTATATAGCGACGGAACAAGAGACAGGTGTTATCTCTGCGAAACCGTCGAAAGAGTAAGTGTGAGAAAAGCGCCGACAGATGAGTTAAAACTATGTGTGTATTATTACAAATGATATTGAATGGACAGAATGAATCCTCCGTCGGAAAAGGCTCGTTTAGAACACGAGACAGGAGTTGAGTGTGGAAGAAAGACTACTTGTGTGTAACAAAGACGAAAGTGAAAGAACTGATAACAACCAAACAGGCAAGGCAAAATAGGAAAGAAATATAAAATCATTTACAAATTGTGAGTGTCTTCATTTCTTATATCTAGAGCGCGGTTCAGCGAAAGTGCTAGATGGGCTCATTGGTTGACAACAGATGGGATAGTTGCTATGAAATGGTATATTCTAAGATTATTCTATGAATATATATATATATTCATATATATACGTAGTATATTCTATATATATAGTATATTCTAAGCATAATGCATTTGCCCTTAACCTCCAAAAAAAAAGTATATTCTAAGAGCTATATGTCTAAGGTATATATATTATTGTAACCAGTTAATTGCCCCTCGCCTTTTGAATTGGTCTAGTAAGCAAAACGTAACAATGAACGAAGACTTGTACCGCCAGACTTTGATTGTCTTATAATACATACATTTTTGCGGTCGTAGCGTTTGCAAATACACATTTATTCAGAATAGGATATAAAAAGCATGAAAGTGTTCTGCTCTTGGTAGCAGTTATTTTAGAAAAGTAGTGCTAGTAATAATAATTCAACATACTATGCCCAAGGTTATGTTTCCAAAAAACCAAAACCTGCGACGGCAGCACTTGTTAATTTAGGAGCATAGCTGATACACGCTATTAGATGGACGAAATATTTATATTCTATTTAGACTTTGAATGCAAGTTTCCTTGATGAAAAGAGGTTTAGATAGAAATATTTGACATAGTAAATAAATAAATAGTTAAGATATTCCTACGTAATTACCATCCTTTGGAACTTAATCTTTTTAAATAAAAGGTACTATAAAATGTTATGCATAGTATGAGCTTTCAAAAAAAACACAAGGTAAAACACTTGTTCCTTGTTGAAGTTTAAATTGCGTTCGACTTTAGGAGTACCATCTCCTCTTCTTTAATCATTGCAGAAAATCACCTGTGGCTTACACTTTACGAATTTCTGGGGCATTAGTTATCGATCTATGCTTAATCGATTCGGGATACAAATGGCAACAGTTCTTCTTTGAGATTTAGGTCAAAAACGCTCGGACAGCTTTGAAGCTAAATCGTCAGTAAGGAACAAATAAGACACCACTTGCTTTGCAAGATAGATTTGATTAATTCATCAATTAGTTCGATTCAAAGAGAAATACTTCACTAGACGATAATATTGCGTCAACATAAACTAGCTTAGCTGCACTGATAGTAGCTAACCTTGGCCCTGGCAGATAATTGTATAGCGAGTGCAAGACGCTCTGCAGAAATAAAGGCGAAAACCTTCTCATTTATAATCTTCGTTCCTAATTATTAATCATGTTGACCCGCTAAATACTACCTTAAATATGATCTGGTCTAGCATAACATACGCCATACTCGTTTCAGGTAAGCACCAATCAACATCAACCTTCATACCAAAAAAAGCATACTTACGTCATAGTTATTATATAACACTAACACGACTTTGCATAAGCTTTATTTACAGATTATATATACATAGCCGCAGTGCGTTTAATACTGCCCTATACCGACATTTGCGCCTTTGCACTATCTAAAAGACAAAATATTCCACCGCCTGTCATTCATTAACTCTCCAAACCCAGGGTCTGTACAGCAGCTTGAAATTCGAACTAATTTCATTTCCCGTAATCCCTTTCTGCCACGTTCTTCTTTCAACACATCGTCGGGATGAAGGGTATGTAATTCTGCTGATTCAGCTAGCCTTCGTCGTCTGAGTCTGTAGCCTTACGTTAACCTTAGCTACACCAGCATTTTGTATGGTATGAATTGTCCCAATACCCGTTTGACCGTAGCACTCATGTCTGACCTACCAACGTATGCAGCTCGCTCGCTCTGATTTGACCTAGGAATTAGGAAATAGCTATTATTTATCCATGTCAATGTAAAGTGATACAAAGGTATTCACGCGTTTTGCTGAAAGTTAGTTGTATTTTTATAGTCTTTTTTAAGTTAAGCTGTTATTACATCGTCTTGCGAAATAACGGGCCCTCAACAAATTTTTACTACAGTAACCAATTCAGTGGTCATCATCTCTACGTTACATATACTACATTCTTGTCTTTTTACATGTATTAATAGTATATATTGTCCATAGTTTACTCAGTTATATGACGGCACCAAGATGCTAAGCCGAAGGTGTCACTGGCTTGAGCTCGCATACGAGAGCATATATACAAAGCATACACAAACCACGCGAAATTATGTCATACACTTCAATAGAACAATTATGTTTTTATAAACAATATTTTAATTTGCGTTTATATGAATCGTTACTTAACGAGATAGTTCGCATTTTCGCCTCTGTTGGAAAAAAATGGGAATAGCGAACGGCGACAAATTCCCAAAGAATCGTACACTCTTACTCTACCGCGCTATTCAAGACGGCATATGCCCCATATTATGCACTCCTCATCGTCGTTACAGTCCGTTCATTTAATATTTTCCATACACTAACACTCTTCACATGGTTGGATGTTCTCTCCCCCACTTACTAACCTTATAGCTTGCCTGTTTCCTCCCTGAACTTCACGACAATCCATCCATACACACACACACACACCCTCATGTGCAATTTCTCCGCTCTCCTAGCACACAAGTTCTGCTGACATCATAAATACCATTGTTTATTTCGCTTTTGTGTTATGTAACGCTGTAACACGCGATCACCGTTATTGCCGTCATTCTAAGTACAATAAGCATGCTAGTCTTGGGGTGCTACCAATTATAACAGGTTTGATCGAACACCATTTCAACTCTAATTGGAGCTCCCGCAACTTGTTTTTTCCGTCAACATTGTTGTCAACATTCCTGTCGCCTAAAAATTTTACACTACTCAGGTTATTTTTTGTCAAACGTATCTGTCCTGTTTTTCACTTTTTTTTCCTCTAATCTCCTCGATTTATATATATATATATATATATTATATATATATATATATATATACCGGGTACGTATTCTGATCAGGACGCCGTGTTCCTGAATAGATCTCGTAGTTAGAGTCTCATGGCCAGCAATAGAGGTTGTGGCAGTCGCACTGATCGCTTTACATCGGTAGTTTCAACATTAGCAGAACTAAGCCACATATTTCTTGTTATTATCGAGGGTTGAGTATTGACCTTTAGCGAAGTACTCATTATAGATGATTCGGACGAGGAACAGATGGAATACAACGACAAGAAATGCGAACGTAGCCCAAAACAGAGCAGGCAATCCGCCCAGCTGATGGCCATGTTTGTGCAGAGCAATAACATGCTTTTCGTGTGCAGGCGCTTCGGCTACCTCGTGAACATGTAATGTGTGCTTTAGCTCGGAGAGATGCTGCTTAGTTCTGGCCACATAGAGGACAGCCGTTGGCGGATCGGTCAGCTTCACAGGAAAGACGGCTGGTGGCGCACCGCTGTAGATGGTTATGAGTAAATAGCAGGCCAAATATTGACATGAACGATATCATAAAACCGCGATAGGTGAGGTAAAAAAAAATAGGATATGCGTTAAATTCGATGACATTCTGTTGTTCTTTCGCATTTAGAAAATTGTTATTCTTAATTGTTACACAGTCATTGGAATTTGAAGTTATCTCTTGACATACAACGAAATAGACGAGTTTGTTTATAACGCTACGGCATAATTAAATATATTTAATTAAGGACCGCACGAGGAAGGTACCTACCTAATGGGTACGGGAGGATCAAGACATCCCCCATCGCAAGCGTACACTCGTTCGTCGGCTTCGGCGGAGATACTAAGAACAGCTTTGTTTTCAGCGTTAACGGTCACCGTCACGTTCAGGTTTGACTCTGGAGTGAATAGCATCAGCCGACGATAATGAAAGTCTCGATGAAGATCGGCCGGTAGTGTCGAAAACTCAAGATGGCCGTCATGGAAGAAGAACGCTCCAAAACTCATGAGCATTGCCTGCATCGCTCCATTGGGCCCGCCATGGCTCAAGAGTTCACCGCAACCGCGTTTGAATAGTGTCAACTGCCACAGTTGCACCGTTTGCTCAAGCACTGACACCTTACCGAGGTCGGCCAATGGAGGCCACAACGTCCGAGCGTTTCTTTTTCGAAAAGTTATCCATAATAAAAAAAGTTAACAATGACGGACATACTGCACATATTATATGGACTGCCAAATTAATTTACCAGATATATTCTATGTATTAAGAATTATTCGTATTTACATATTCTAATGCAACTCATTAATACCTACAGTGTGTGGTGTCCCTTGTAACAATGCTTCCCGAGAGCTGGTAGGTCGAGGGATGTACTCTCCGGGGTATGCGATAAAACGTAGTACAGCGTTGCGTTAATTCGGTCTCCATTCAAAGCATTTTCAGCTCGAGATAGCGAAATTGAAAGCCCGGAACGCCATATCTGTGACATTAAAACAATACGTAAATACGGAAGCAGTTATTATATGCGAGTTGTACAAACATTTTTTAGAGTATTTATTTAACCAATGCTAATGCCGTAGACAAATAATTCAGAATCGATTCCGACTGCACAAAGATTACACGCCCATTATGATAATAATAGCGCCGACTAGTTAAAGACATACTGGATAATTTTAACAGGTGTTATCATCTAATCTGTAGGTATTTCTCCTCAACTGACCTTCAGAATAGAATACGGCCACTCTGTGGTAAACTTGAGAGTTCGACGTCAAGTATCCTGTGATACCTGCAGGAAGTCTCAACATTCGTACTTTTAATCGGACGCGATGAAACATTACCGGGTCCATTCACAATTAAAAAAATATTTGTCGGAATTTTAATATACAGTAATAATAGTAAACGGTTTGTTACAATTCGTTGACAAACCAGCACATCCTTGGAGTGTTACTTTTTGGACTTTGTTGACATGGCTACTAAAGGTCTGATGTAGATCCTCGCCTGTTTCTTTCTGACCACAAGGCTGCTTATGACCACAAGTTCTTACTCATAACTCTTAATCCGTTTGCGAGCTTCGTCATTAGTCATAGTCAGTTAGGCGTCAGTGAATTTACAGCAACGATTTTCTTCTTATTGCAATTCTATTTAGGAGCAATAGCGCACATCGTTGAATATTATCTTTCACTTAATCAAGAAAGACAGTCGCCTCTGCGTAGATAGATACAATTAGCCTCTGATCAAGTGACCAGTCCACCTCACACTGTTTATATCGAATTGACCTGTACATCAGTCAGGCGACGTAATTCTTGATGAAATCGGAATCGATGCTTTGGATTTTTTATTGATACGTAAGTAAAAGCGTGCATATCCAGCCAAGCGGGATGATTTTAAACACACCTATGCATATTTTAACAACGCAAGGCTTACTTCCAGCATCGTTACTGCGAATTTAGGCTGCTTTAATGTAAATGCAGCCCTACTTCGGGCAAAACACCGGCCTGAGCAAAGCTATTTATTGTCTTGTCTTTATCTATTACCCCAATTTCGAGGAAGGAATAATTCTTTCGATTGTTTCGAGACCTTACTGAATGGCACATCGTATAAAGAAATATAGTTCATTGGCAAAAAATAACAAGTCTTGTATATATATGACTTTTCTGCTTTGTATGCATATATATATATATATATATATATATATATATATATTCAAAATAAATATGGTATTAACGGTAGTGAAAAGCGGATAGCTGATTTCAGCAGCTTACCTCCAGCCAGGAGTTGACGTGTTCGGCCTCGACTTTCTTCATCGAGGCCATGACTCGATCGAAGTCTTTTCTAGATAGATCATTGACCTTAGACTCTGAAGCAACTACTTCCGCCATACTTACGGGCTTCGAGTACTTGACAATGGTGAAGAAGTCATAGGAAGACTTTGAGTCAAATGATAATTTGATATCCATTTGCGGCATAATAACCGAATAAACTATGAACTTATGTCCAGCAGCTACCTTTCCGTTAAGCTGAACATAATGTAAACCATTATGGACGCTGCAATAAACGAATTTGTTACGTTGTGTTAACTTCCATAAGCTGTCATAGAAACAATGGCAAAATTGTCACTTTGACTGAGTCATAATTTGAGTTGAGGATACTATCTATCTATACGTTTCTAAATTATCACAGAGCATGTCTCAGCTTCTAAAACCAGCATTGTCCCTTCAAAAGACATAAACGTTATAAAGCAAGGATCGACGCCTAGCCCTATAGAGAAAATCACCAAATTCTGAGAAATTTACCATAGCATATAAAAAATATCCCCTAGTGTCTTCTTTAGATAGACGCATATGTTGAAGTATTACAACCAATATAATGAACTTGACTGCAAACAATAATGGGCGACTGCAGCAGCAGCGCCAGTGCTCACCCGAGATTTTTGACCTTGACAGCTGGCGGGAAATTTTTCGCCCGTTGTTGCAGACTGACCCTAGCCGACTTCCAGGAATCTTCCAGGGTCATTTCTAAGCTTTGCAGAAATACTGAAGGATCACTACGATGCGCGAGAATCTCTTGCCGAATTGTTATTGGAGTTTTGGAAGAGGCTAACATGTATGTCTCAATTTTGATCAACTTTCCATGGACGAAATGCAAAGCACGAGTTACTGTAACAGAATCAAACGTGCGATTTAGCACGTAAAAAGGCCCAATAGACCCCAAACCTGGTAAGTCCCAGCTTAGATCATCAACGGATATTAAAGACAAACCCGCATATGTAAGATGCGTACCGTGCCCGTGATCAGCTCTATTCTCGACCTCGACGTTCACTAACGGTGAGAACGGAAGCGCTGTTGAAAGTAGCCGACCCGGCTCGCCAAAAAAGAAAAGCTCGTCGGCCGCTTCATTAAAAGCTATATAACCGTTGCCGACAAATGGCGTCAGCGGAACATCCTCCGAGTCATAGCTACGCTGAAGCTGTGCGTTGAACGCCCCCGCGTCACGTTCGATTTCTTCGATGTGCCTAAGCATGGCATTAAGAGACGAATCTAAACATAATCAATGTAAACATGGACAAATGCACACGACAAATAAATGCATTAATTAACATCGAAAATTACTTAGCTTAGGGTTACGCCGACCGATTTTGTATCTATCATATACCTATCAATCATCTTTCATATTTCGCTAAACTCAATCGAATAAGAACACCTTTTTTTAAATGAATAACTTAACAGGAAGATGTTATTTTAGGAAGTTTGTTAAAACATACGTTTTAATTAGTAGAGATTATATGCCAGAGAGTCATTGAAAAAACCGCGCGGAGTATGATAGAATAAGTTGAGTGAAATGATCAAATCTTGTCACCGTGTTCCAGTATATCCGTATATAGACTACATCACAATGTAGATTAAAATCCAGCCATGCTACATTTTGCACGCTATACTAGTAGTTAAAATGCACATAACAATCATCTAGCTCAGGATACGCAAAAACAATGTTTATAAAAATAAAAACCAAAACGTCTTTAAACGTAGGCAATTTAAAGGAGGTGAGTATCGTCCAGAAGCAAACTGCCGGTTCTAAGGAGCTAAGAAAAACGTTCGTTCAGAACGAATGATATTCATTTGCTAACAAACCAATGACTGTGTGTAGCTGAAGCTTTTAATCGCCGGTCGGTTCGGTATAACTTCATAACTTGCGTGATGTCAAAGCAGTTGAGCGTGTTTGAGGGGCATTCAGCAACAAAGGACGAAGCTATGTTTAAGCGCCTACGATGAACGTGACAGCCCTAGGATTTGCAGTAGAGAAAGGCAGAATATTATGAATTATCATTAATAATATATTACCCATTATAAATGGAGCCTTGCGTCGAACAAACCGAAACATTGACGGCGCCGAGTAGAGTAGGAAAAATATTGTAAAAACAATACATATTGTTATCAAACGGCGACGCATCCTGAAAGGTCACAACAAAGCAAGCGTTTAGAGCGTAAATATCAGTTAATTCATTGATATTTAGTAACAAGTACCATTTGTACGATATGACAGCGATACATTTCTTTGGCAAAAAGTATCTATAATGTACCAATGAAGGCGCTGCACTTTGAATCGATGCCTAATTGCTTATTATGCAAAGTCTATGAGCTTCTGAGCTAGAAGTGCAGCTTATATGAGAAACATTCTTAATATATCCATTTGATCTACTTGAGACGTCAAATCCATATTGACTGATACCCGTATAAATAATTCAAAGTATCATTTACAAGTTATATTATCCCGTCGCGCCATCACTGAAAAATAAAGCACAGAGTCATATGATTTCGAACGCAGCCCGCATGACGCTCTGTTATTCCTAGAATACATGTTTGACTATGCCATTCATGCTAAGCTTACTTTCTTCCTACTGCCAGATTTGTATTAACATTTTCTTATTTATATTTGTATTTCTAACAGGAGTGTGGCTAATAACTGCGTTTTATAGCTTTTACTATTTTTTTTATTATTATTATTATATTATTTATACTTACTTGATCGTGTACATGTGTTACTATATATGGACTAACCAAATATATATATACCATGCTTCAGTCAACTTGGTTGTATTCTTTCCGCGCATTTTTAGTGTACCTTCTCGTAGTAAGTTTTTGTAAAAAATTATGTTCTCCGCGCTCTCCAAATTCGTTAGCCTACAGCATAGAGCATTTGTTGTATAACGGCAACTGTTGTCCATGTAACCAAAAGGTCTCTTCAGTCTTCCTCAACTTACATCATTCCATAGAACGGGACGATGTCAATCATCGCTCGTCGGACCAGCCGTCGAATTCGGTCCATTTTCTATAAAGCAGCAGGTAAATGGATGAACACGAACAGACCGAAAGCAACACGGGACGGAACGCACTTTCTCACTTGAAACACTGCTAAACACTTGCATAGAGGTATATTTACAATGATTTTAGCGAAAACCTGTTTCTGTTTGAGATACAGCTTTTGTTTCGCTCGTGCTGATCGAACACCTACAGTTAGCATAACAAAGGTTGTATTCTAACGGCAAGTAGATTGACATCTGATTAGTTATTTGGTTTACATAGTTTTGCTATCAGGGTTAAATAGGGCCGTTGGGAGCTCGTTATTTTTCAGATAAACTCTCCGACAATCTAATTCAAATAACTTCCATGATAAATCTTTATACTAAACACGTACAGCCGTAATGTCGTCAGAACGCATAAAAAACAAAATCATCTAACAATAAAATTTTTTAGTAGCAGTGCTAAGTATGTATTTAGCTTTCCGTATGCACTCTGCGACAAAGCTGCAGCTCGCAAAAATTTGTTAAAGCAGCATGGTCGATGCTCACACATAATGAACTGCCACTTGGGGAGTTAGCCTAGTTGGAGGTCGATCCTTATTATGCGGATATTAGCTCTCTATGCTTTTTATATGGTTACGCGCTAGCCGTGCCTACCAAATAATAGCTGCGTATCCGATTCGCTGACTACAGCTGTTCGTGCGGGCGTCGTTTAACTGGTAACTGTTACACTTCGATTTTAGCTGCTAGGCAATACTGTTAAATTACTGACTAATCCAACATTGAGGTACACGTCTCCCTTTTATGCCCATGCTTTTTACATATATATTGTTGTTATCACAGGAAGAGCCGACTGGTTCGGTGACGGTGAGCGTTAGTGTTTACACAACACCTCATGATACCAATCAGCTGGACTGCGACTGCCTATGTGGCGAGGGGCAGATCTGGCGAAGCAGGCTGCCAATAGTGCGCCCATACAGAAATTAATAGGTGTTTACGGGGAACTCTATGTGCAGACGTAACACTTATTTGATTTTGTAGTCGGCAGATAAATTCCCGATGGAAAGAAACGGAACACCAATCTGTCGGCGACAGTATGACATATGAATACAAACTTGTTATTATCTTGTTTATAATGGCTTGGGTAGTTGCTCATCCTGCGTCGGAACTTACAGAAAACACTCGTTGCAGGAAACCTGTTGTTCGAAACACACAAAAATCAGCTGTGTGAACTGTCAGCGCGGCACCTGCTTAGCCTGTTTTCCGAAATCTCCTGCTTTGATCATTTGGTTATACTGTGTAAAACAGGACATTTATTATTACTACGTGCCCAAAAGATGTATTCGGTTATATATATATATATATATATATATATATATATATATACGCGTATAAATGAGGGCTGTTAGTGATATTGTTTAACTTTCCCTGTGGAGCGACAGCTCTTTGTGTGTAATTTGTCTCGTGTATCAAAATCGTTACGCTAACACATGGGAGCCCCACCAAAAGTGACCCGTACGAAAGGTTGTTGTTGTTAGTCGCTATGTGAACATTTTTGGAATTGGAAGATAAAATAATATGGAGGCGAATCAAGAGGAGCTCGTCGAGGTCATTCAAGGATTGCATGATGAGCTTCGTTACCGTGTGCAAAAAGGTTCAACTTCTACATACCTAATTATCAGTATCATTCGTTTTTATAGTTCCTCGCTCTTAGTTACACGCTTAACGCGACTGTTGCAAATATGAGAATTGGCCATTTTGCATTATTGGTATGCGTTATGTATGTATATATGCCTATGCGATAGAAAAAATATTTGCAAAAAGTGAGTTGGTCAAACAATCACCTATTACAAAGGAAGCTTAATCGTTAATCGTACAAGGTGCCTAACGCGGAATTTAAAAGATATTACGCGGGCCGTCTGAGTAGGCTCCGATTATCGTATACTTCATGGGTCTTAATAACCTCGATCCTACATACGGCTGATAACAGGCGCAAATTCTTAAATATCTTTTCCTATCTTCTTAGAACCTGAAGACTATATGGCCATTTGGAAGGATCACAGCATGGACAGTGGTGGTGAAGCCAAAGCTCGTTACGCATCAGCCATGCATTCACTGGCCACCAAGGTATGATAAACAAGGGCCACAGATACAGAAGCGACACCGAAGTTGTAAACAATGCTAAATGATCAAACCATACGAAAGATGTCTGGTTTCAAACTCGTCTCGTAAAAACCAGCTGTGCTTAAATGTGCCTTTGTAGTTACTAAGTTACCTTACAGCCTTACAGAAAAGACAGCAGCGTTTTATTATAATTCTACCGGAAAATGAATCTATTACATATTCCCAATCACTCTCCATAACCGTTTCCCGTTTTTTCACCAATTAACTTATTTTTTGTCACCAGAAATTTATGAACTTGTGAAGCCAGTTTTCAAAATCCTGTTTCATTCTCAAATATACCGTTACAAATTTTATTTGCCTGTGATTGGAAATTTGTCGATTGGGGACCTGAAGAATGTCGTGGATATAGAGAAACCTCTTGAAAGAAAAGCGCTTGCAAAGCGGCTTGTTTTTCGCCACGCGCGATTTAGCATTACTGTTTATCGGTCATTTCGGTCGGATAATTTCGTTTACTCTACACGGTTGGGTTAGATACAGATTTTAGTTCACCATCTTGTTCTTCCCAAGTGTTTCGCAGTATAGAAAACGTTTAAACTAGAAAAAAAAAATAAACACAAATGATCGACTTTGTAGGTGAAAAATCTAGCTTTACGAGTTGCTTATCGTGTGAAGTCCTCAGTGATCTCGAATGGCCGACCAAGGGATATACATTCTCCAAGTCTAAGATTTCATCTTGGAACTCATCAGATGCTTTGAAGCAGACTCTTCGATTGCAGAGGTCTTGCTGTACACGGAACACTTGTTCCGGACTACAACGGCAGTTTTTCCGTCTAAACAGAAAAGATCAATAGAGCAGGTATCTTAAATCAATTTTTTCAGTAGGAATATCCATCTTGGACGTCTGAACTTAAGGCTAAGCTCCGTTCATTGTACAGTGAAGTTACGACTGGCCTATGGAGAAGAGAGAGTACTTTTGAATGGAGTGAGAAAGGAAAAAAGGAGCGTTAGAAGGAAAACTGTCATCACTTATGTACCTGCCTAATGATTATAGATAAACCTAAATGTAGTGTGTGATATGAAACCCGATTTACAATGCCGCTAATAAAGTTACCATTGCGTAATGAGCACGTTTATAATGTGTGTAGCTTGCGGATTCGAAACGCTTACGTAGGTTTGGATCCGCAAAGAACGCGCGGACGACCGAATTGCGATTACGCACGCCGAAATCGAAGACTATTATCGCGATGGAGGATTTGAGCGTGTCATGCGACGGATGTTCCGGAAACACTCAAGAGTGGAGGACGTGGAGGCAGTCATTGAAGTTAGTTATAAAAACGGTTATAGACATTTTCAAACGGGTTAAAAACGATTTATTCGATATAATTAATCTTCTTCTTGCTTCTCCGCCATATTTAGAAGGGCGGATTTGGCAGATAGAGCTGACCATTTTCGATAGTTAAACAATTCAGCAGATAGCCCGAATAATTTCTACATATGCTTAATACAGAATATTTTCATTTATAACGAAATTATGGGGTTAAGATTCAAATGTAAGATTTTCTATGCTTCGAGCAAAGTTTCAAGGCTTCTGTTCGATCCTAAAATGATTACCTGTAGTTATTCAGTGTAAATACTCTATGAAAATCCTAAACTATCAACAATTTGCTAGTCCGTTTTCCTCCATGTCGCGTTTTTTGAAAAGCACTGTCATTTTATGCACGTGCATGGCCATAGACCAGCGCGCCCATCCAGCTTGAAATTGTGAAGCAACGTAGTTTATGTATCATATAATCTCACATAGTAGAATTTTTTTCTGAGACTGAATAAACATATATATCGACCATATTTTTATGTGGTCTAATTCTATTTTAGCCGCTGAAGGACTTTGAGTTGAACGAGAACGAAAAATTACGACTATTGGACGTTGGCAGCTGTTATAACCCGTTTTCCAAATTCGATTACGATATAACAGCCGTTGATCTCTCACCAGGTAGGTTACAGGCTCTTTTGCCCTCGAGAAATTCGTCATTTGCAAGCGACTGAGCACCTGCGAATCGTAGTCTATTCTTAAGACAATATGAGATATGGTTGATAGCAAAGATTCTATACAAGGCATAAATATATAGACTTCTCAATCTAATTTAATAGTTCAATAACTTGTGCCGCTCATCACGTTTGTCATTGTTGTTGGTGCTCTTTACAGCAACCCCTGACGTGATTCAGTGCGATTTTGTCACGGTTAACTTTTCTTCGAAGCTTAACGTTGTATGCACACCATCAACGCCAGCACGCAAAATAGATACCCTGCCAAAAGGATATTTCCACGTTGTGGTATTTTGCCTTCTTCTCGAATATCTACCCGATGCACGGTTACGCCTCCGCGCTGTGCATAACGCTTACAAAGCACTCAAAGACAACGGTTAATAAGCTACAAGCTTTTTGCTCACAATTTTTTAATTGTTCTGAATTTTACATAAACTTCGTCGTCATCAAAGTCTGATATATATATCAAGGTAATTAAATATAACCAGGTTAGTTCTGTTCATCCGACAGGAGATGTATACAGAGTAATCTTAAATTACCAAGATCACTCTGTACACATGTATATATATATTCAGAGTGAATAAGTAATTATTCACTTTCATAGACAGCTTTGTTGCTATTGGTTGCATCCTGCATCTTGGTATAATTTAGGTTATATGTAATCGTTTGCTTGCAGGTCTTTTGGTTGTGATCACACCAGACTCGAAACATGCTCAAAAGAATATGTCCATGATTCAGGGCTGGCGAAGAACGCTACTTCGACTAGGTCTAGATAGGGTTCGTTACTCAAAGCACCAACATCTTCATTGCATTTCATTCCGTAAACTCTGTCCTGTTTCACGACATCTTATGCAGCTTGACGCGCAACCTTGCAAACACAGCTATGAAGAGGTATATTTAAGCGTGTTTTCTCAATTATCTCAATAATCGTGATATATGTGTATATATCTATATAGTCACTAACGGCTAAGTGTTCACAACAACCTCTCATTATGACGCAAGGGTGGATAAAATCCTTAAATCTAATAATATAATCTTACAAAAGCGGAGAGTAAGTACACATATCTCTCCTTACAGCTATGTTCAAATTGTGTGGACGAGCTTGCTCCGCAAATGTCGATTCATCAAGACAGGCAGGATTATGTGGCAAAATTTGAGGGTGGTGACTCCGCTGTCCAAACGGAATTACGGGGCGAAGATGAAGATGAGAGCATCGCCGAGATGCTCGCTGAGATGCCGTTGGAATTCGAAGACGATGACAATGACTAGGTTCCATAAAATGTATACTTTATTAGACTGTAAAAATTACTTCTCAATGAATGTATAATACTCCAATGTTAATAAATGTACGTACATGGCTAATTTATAAGTTATCCATATGTGTGCATATATATATATATATACAGGGTGTAGTACTCAAATTTGGATAATCTTTGTCGAGCTGCTCGTTATATCGCACATCGGTGTGTCCACTATTATTGGCAAGAAAACTGTTTGTCTCTAGAACCGAACAGCGAGCTCATCAGGGCGGAAGACAACGCAGCAGGAAAAGTACTGTGGAAGACATGATAGAGATTTCTATGAGGTAAACCTACGACCTCGAAAATTCATCGAAATGGCTCAAAAGCCAATATTTATACTCCTAGATTTTTTATATTAAATGATGGCCTTTTTAACAAACAGAGTATCAATGCGGATTAAGCCGTCCGGATAAGCTAAAACGATTAGTCACTTTGAGACGTCCTGCGTCCTTTTGTGCCTTTTGGACTTTTTGGTTGTTTTTAGCGTTTGCATTATTGCACTTTTTGGCCTGCTATCAGTCAAGAGTGTCATTCCGCTGTAATTTTTTTATGTAGCATGCTTATACGGCACTCTTTGCATTTACGTTAAATTTACACCTGCCAAGGTCACTATGTCACACATGATTACTATAAAAAAAACGTACCTGCCTATCAACAAAAGACTATTTTTGAAAATGATTAATAAGTAATCCAGATATCGATAAAAAGTTACAATCGCAGTGAATGATGGTTATAATAAATAAGCACGATTACCAAGAACGACACTTCTAGCACACGCGAAAAAAATTCGTTGCAATGTATACCTTCGTTCAAATGCAATCTTAGAAACAACTCACAAGGAATAGTCCGGACTTAAATGCTCCACCCTGTATAATAGGCTTTCATCAAGCTGAATATGATAAAAATTACAATAAAAAATACAGCGAAATACTTCTAACTTCAATAGCAAAAATAACCGAATGGTCAAAGGAGTACTGTACAATAAAAATGTATTTTATTTGTTAAGTGTTATAGCTGCATTTTGTATTTATCTAGATAAATATCTAAAATTAAGTGCATACGTAATGTAAAATTATTTTGCAACTACTGAATAAATTATTGTAATTAATGAATTGATGCATTATTTAGATATTAATAACGATATGTTGTCTGGACTGTGATCAAAATAGGCAAATATATAAATTCAGTTATATCCAAATATCTTTTATCAGGCACATTTAGCTTAATCTAGGGAAAGTATTTTTGAGGCTTAACCTTTTCACACAAACAGGACTTTTACGAGGATGAAGAACGAAGTCTCCTTTGCTAGTGAACTTTATTTAAATCGATTTTTTGCAGCGGTATTAAAAACAAATTGTTTAAGCAGTTTTGAGTATTCTTCTAATATATGTTCCATACTCGCCATATGAAGGAAATTGTTCTAAATTGACTATGTACTACAAAGATAACTTACTTATAAGAAAGATCCGTTGTAAATTATAAATATTTACTGACAGAAACAGCCAAAAATAATTTAGCTTTATCAATCATGATAGATTGGTAACGCATTATGAAGGATTTTTAAACAACTCCCATTTTTCTGTGAAGACACAATGAAATTAACTTTATACACAGTCCATCAGTGCATGGAGGGTACCCTATAGCGATCTAACATTGAAATTTAAAAATTGCCGCCAGTAACCAAAGCGGCTCTACACACGACAAAATGTGCCCATAAATATAGAATATATCGAATCTTTGACAGTTTCATCCGTTTTTCCCACCGGTTAGATATTATTAAAATGTTTGTAGGTCTTTTTTACTACCCCTTTTGAGTCGAATTAACTTAAACCCTGCAGAGAGCCCATCATGTTTAAGGTCGATCCGTCAATCCAGCGGGCGGATGGCCTCCTCCATCTTGCGAATGTTTGTTGCGGTCTTTTTTGTCGAGCTGCCTTCAAGTGGCATCAAGGTGTATATTCTTTATTGATATTTCTAACAAACTAAGACCCTTTGTACATTATAACATGTTCCGAAAATGCCAGTCGACTCCGGAGTTTGTAGTGTGTATTGCTGTGCCACTACTTTATCAACTTTTATGCATATGAGTGTCATGTGATGATATTGTTTCGGCAACGGTATGACCACGTGGGCATTAAATTCGGCAAAAGTCATGCAAATGAAATTTAAGAGTTCCTCGACTCTAAGTATTCAACATTTCTATACGCCATTGATATTAGCCGACATTCTTTGAGAAGTTGTTAAGTTTCAGTTAACCCAGTTAGGTTTAATACACCCTGGCAGTGCTATGATATTCTTTTATCATTATGGTTTTAGATGATGGTTCAATTTGCTTTGTTTACATGTAATCTTGTCAAATGTTTCGTGTTTTAATCTTTTTTCGCAGTCCGAAGTTTTTATTCGTCATTGCCTTGAACGAAAACTTTTGCGCCAAGATGTCGGAGGGAAACAAAGTTTTGCAGTTGCGACAGGAAGATGTGAAAAATTTCCTGGCAGCCCACACCCATATCGGTGCGACTAATGTCAACTATCAAATGGAACAGTATGTGTTCAAGCGTCGCTCGGACGGTGTCCACTTGATCGACCTGAGCAAGACATGGGAGAAGATTTTGCTCGCGGCTCGTGCCATTGTCGCCGTCGAAAACACATCCGAAGTCTGCGCCATTGCTTGTTCATCGTCTTCCGGCGAATCGAAGCCGCTTGGACAGCGTGCCGTGCTGAAGTTCGCAAAGTACACTGGCGCTACACCCATTGCCGGCCGATACACCCCTGGTACCTTTACTAATCAGATTCAGCAGGTACTTGAACTATTTTGTGAGATAACTAAACAGAGTCATTTGTTTGTGGGTTCTGAAAACAATCTTTTACCGGGATGCTACATACACATATATACAGTTGGCACGTTTATATCCGGATTTTTGTACTTCGCTTTTTAACCTGTATTAAAACGAAAATATACATTTCTTTTTTACATATGTTGAAAACGTCATCTCTCTTGATCATATTTATTCAATATAGCCGATTTCACCTTTAATTAGGGACTTGGACTAACTAGTCATTTGAAAATATTCTTTTCTTAAGCCGCAAACAACCTAATAGCGCGTATTAGTGGGTGTAACTTCGTTAAAGCGTCGCTCAGATATGCTACATACATTTTAACGAAATATATTTTGGGTTGAAATTTCCAAAGGCCAAAAATTTCGGAAATGCAAGGGAGAAAAGAAAAACCGTCAGAGTTTAGATAGATGACCCAATGGCCAATTGCTGTTTTTCTCTTTGAAACGGCCACTAATGCTTATATGAAGAATAGATTCTCGAACCGTGGTGATGAATTTTTTGATCTATTAGATCTAAACGCTATGCGTCATACCTTTACTCAGGCTTTTCAGAAATCGTATGAAACTCGTTATAGCATGCCTCTAAAAGGAAAATATACGTCGTCGTTATATTAGGAAAAGAACTGTGATCAATTACCTGTGAACAAAAAGGTATATATATATTGAATGAAGGCAAATGGTAATTCATGCATATCTGTGCTAAACCATTGGTCGAGTTAGCAGCGCGTCTACCCTGTGACATGCGCGATGTGTTACACCGATGGTACAGAGATTTTTCACTACTTTGGGGAATCCAGAACCTTGTTTTGAGGGTCTGGGTCACCCTGGTGAAGGAAGGCACCACGAGAGTTGGCGCGCACCCGGCCTTTTACAGACAATTTGATGGTCCGTGCCGTAGTGATGGGGCCCACATTTTTTTATGCACCACTAGTAGGAGATTTACTTGGGGAGCATTCTAAAGCATGTAAATATGTTACAGATCTAGTTCGGCTTACGTACCATTTACAGCTATCTGAAAATTTACGCCTAATTGTCGATCGTGAAAAACAAAACTTGTTTCTTTGAAATGGGTTTTAAATTCAAGGAGTTTTTATTGAAAATCAACACATACCATTATTATATTACATATTATTCTTTAATCATTTTCTTCTTCAACAGGCTTTTAAGGAGCCTCGCCTCCTTGTCGTATGCGATCCTGGCGCAGACCACCAGCCTATCGAAGAAGCCTCGTACTCGAACATCCCCGTGATCGCCTTCTGCAACACCGATTCGAACTTGCGTTATGTCGACATTGCCATCCCGTGCAACAACAAGGCCAAGGACTCGATAGGTCTGATGTGGTGGCTGCTGACCCGTGAGGTTATGCGTATGCGAGGCACCGTGCCCCGTGAGGTGCCTTGGGATATTAAAGTCGATATGTTCATCTATCGTGATCCCGACGAGGTCAAGAAAGAAGAGCAGGCTGCCCTTGAGGCGGCGGCTCCATCCGGGATCACCCAGGCGCCCACGGAGGATTTCACGACGGACTTCCAGACCGACGTTAGCAGTCTCGCTGCTAACGACGAATGGGCGACGCCTGCTGGTTCTACCAGCGTTGTCGCTACTGCCCCCGCCATCGCCCCAGCTCCAGCTGTTACTGGCGCTACTGAGGACTGGCCAAACACCAAGAAGGTTATCAATTGGGCCGATTAGACAAAGCGAGTAGAACATCTCGCCAGATGAACTGCTGTACAATGTACTACAGAAGGTCTTGCTAGGAAGTATTAAAATCATTGTCACCACTCGCAACTGGCAGAAATCATTTGTAATTGTGGCACAGCGTAAGAAAATAAACAGCTGATCGATGCTGTACTGCTGAAAAAGCAACGCGTATTTAATAAGTGATATTAGATAATAGGCACTCACAGGGAAACGGCGATGGACATGACAGTCCCTTTGTTTATTATCGAATAATGAAGTTCACATATATTAATAGGTGAACTTTGAAACACCCGTAGTATTTACTAATTAAGCATTTAAAGTTAGAGGCTAGTCAGAAGAAGCCATGAATTTAGGGGAGGACGCGATCAAGCGCAAGTACCGCCCTGTTGGCGTCAGTGCGTTTCAGCAATATGGGACATTCCATTCCGGACTTATTTTCGTCAAAACCGCTCTGCTGATATTACTTACACAGCACCGCTATGTGTGAAAACGTATCCACAAAGGCGTGTACATTTAAGATAATAGTATTGCTCTTATTCTCCTTATTAGCCCTTAGAATCAACAGGTAGAAATACTCTAAATACTATTCCATTTCGATACACACATGGCATACGTTTTGGTTTTTTTTTACTATAGTAACAGGCTGACGATTTGATGTCGTCATAACTATTGGGGTTTATAGCACAGTCTAAAGCTGTAGCATCATCATTATCTGTGGCCTTTTTATGGCTGAGTCTGGAGGACATGCCAGGTATCCTTTCCTCTCAACGAGTGTTCTCTCAGCTCAGTGTCTCATTAAAGACACTCATTGTTGTATGCATTGCTTTAAAAAGATTCTTCACTCTCAAGATTCTAGCAATAACAAACTGAGATTCAAGAATATCAATTTGTCATATGGAGACATTTGGTCGTCCGGTTTTGATTCATAGCAAGTTACCCTAAAATGGTGTAAGTCATTCCTCTAAAAAAGGCTAATTACAGTAGCAAAAAAAAACCGATGCTTTACCTAGGTCACATGCTAGATATGACAGTATTTGTCAGTTGCTACATAAAAATATGTAGTAGAGACGTATTCCACTATCTAAGTATTTATATAGTTCCTCAAATGTTCCTGGTTGATTTTTATGATTAATGCGTCCCTTGAATGCATAGAAGCCGAAACTTTAACGACTTTAGTGATGACGTACAACTGCATCGCCATGTACTGATATATTGCAAAGCTGCAATAAGACAGATTTCGTAGTAGACGTATAAAAACTAATAAGCCGTTTTACCGAAACGATAAGCTACAGCATGAACCGATTTTACTGACGTAAGTTAACCTAGCTTCTTATCCAGGCCAGAATATAGGCTAAATGAAAATAACATATAAAAAACCAATATTAAATACTTTGAAAAATGCCGATTTGATGGAATATGCTACTGAACTATATGGATAGGCATTTTTTTTGATAATGCTGGCCACGAATTTGAAGGTTTGCAAGCATGAACAAAATTAACTGAGGAAGAAGGAGACCGCGTAAACTATACTAAAACCACAAAGCAATTCGACGTGACTATAAGAGCTTTTGCCCGTTTCCATTACCAAGTGGGCATAAGCAACACAATGCATTTGTATTGATTTGCCTTTAGGAATTAATTACTCATGCTAATAAGATCGGAATAGTCATGGCTTGTTTACCTTTGCAGTTTCCATGGTATTTAGACAGGCATCTCATAAATATATATATATATAAATGAGATACAAAGTGATAATGTTCGTAAACTCTAGAAGATGAATAAGAATTTCATAGAAAGTATACCTTTATAGACCCCACGCTGCTTGGTAACTGCCAGCAGAGTTGTCTCCCCGGTTATGAATCATTATTACCCTGCAAAACAATCAATTTATTATGTTCTTTTATGTCTCAACACCTCCATCGACAAACTCACTGCTGAGAATTCACGATTTACGAGAGCTAGTAGCCTTAGGATTTACGTCTAGGAGTCTGGCCTTCGGTGGCGCCCGGTTGGATATATTTAATTTTATATGTTACTTGATAAGGATTAATAGTCATATTGTGATCTCCATTGCGGTACCAAGTACGCGTTCAGTAGACCTTTCTTGCTATTGGTTTACGTAAAATCGGTTGTTAGAGTTTGTTCTCGGCGTATAATCAACATTTTCTCGATTCACAGAGGAGGAAATTGACGACCTGGGTCGGTGTCTTATTTCTAAAGCGTTCAGTTTAAACGACTGTTCGTAATGTCGAATAACGGGTGAGAAACTTTAAATGTTCATTTAAAAACTCCAACATACTTAGCAAGTGTTTGTTTCAGGCTCTGTACGAACACATCTAAAAATAGTTTTGTTGAAAAAAATGCAACAAAACGTCAGTCAGAAGCTAAAAACGTTTCAATAAGAAATTTTGAAAATAGGATCGGATGTATCATCTACTTTCCTCTGTGCTTTGTTATTAACATAATTTGGCTAAAAAAACCAAATCATAGAGCAGCTTGTATGTTTCTCGTTTCATAGGGCAGAGGTTTCCTTAATTCTTTACGAAGTAAAATCGTCAATTCGTCCTTAGATGTAATATGTATCCTTTTTTATTAAAACCATGGATCAGCTAATAGATGTCATTGCAAATTCTATTCTTGGATTCCGCCGAGAATGCATGCTCTACTGTGAATGTCTCAGTAAACATTCTTAATCTACGCATCAGCTCAACCTTATTTTTTTGCCGGAAAGAGCCAACCGCATTGTAAACTTTACTTGTGTCCTATCTATAGACAGTTTAACTAATGAGCTGACTGTTCACCTTGGGAATAAAGTTAAACTCCTGCAGTGATGTCCATTTCATCGTGAACAGTTTGTCGATGAGTAATGCAAGTGTCACCTTTGATTCTTATTGAGTTTCTTTATAAAGACAAAAAATTGAGCTTTTAAAGTGCATTTATTCCGGTTGTTGAGCAGGTTCACAGTTGTCACTCTTAGATATTCTACCGTAGTACGTTATCCTTTCCTTCCCTCTTTACGTATTTCAATTAGCGTATTAGTTAGGCTGCATGCTTTGGCGTAGTCCATGAGTGGTTTTCTCCACTGTGAGGTGTTCACTGATCACTTAGGTGGTCTTGTTCGAGTGTGCATGTTTAGGGGTTTCCGTACTCAACGTTTAAAAGCTTGAAAAGGCAGGAAACAACCGGAACCAATCATCACACAAGTGGATCGAAGACAAAAACCCTTCAAGCATGTTAAAAAATAGTTAGCGAAATATAATGTGGCTTCGTAAACTTGCTCATAGGATTACTCATCCACGCAATGGTGAAGGAAAATGTAATCACAATGGCGGCGATGAAACTGATCGGAGGCACAACTTCATTCAACGGGATATCAAGAAGCTTTGTAAATGTAGCTCGGTGAGCATGGGAACGCCCACCCGCAGGTCTGCGTTCAACCAACCACACTTTGATATATGCAGCCATGCAATTAAGGGTTAGTTCCTTCTATATTAGTGTAGTCGATTTCTAAGCATGTTTACAAAAATGAGCGACAAACCAACGGTACCCAAACGTACTAGCTTTTCTTTTATAGATTCAGCTTTTACTTCAAACGATTCGTTCTCAAAATTGCATAATGGTAATGTAACGTTTTTTAAACTAGAAGAATGCTGGTTTCCCTCACTCGATCTTCGCTAAGAACATAAATATAATAGAGGTTTTGGGCTTTTTTTCACGTACAAACTCCTGATGATCCTTGCTGTCGGTACTCAAGACTGTATCATGTCTCAAGCTGGGCATAGCTTTTGTGATGATTCATAACTTCGTGATGTTTTTGTTTTCTTGAATATTTATTAGAAATGCTTTCCACAAGTAAATATGAACTTAAAACAGTAAATAGTAGAGTACAGCAGTAATTTCTACTTTTAAAACCATCCGGATCTCAAACAATATTTTCACGCTTCGACATATTTTTTACGTCGCCTCGGTACATAATATCCCAATGAGAATACGGAAGTGTTAGCTGCTATTAAAAAATTAATCACTTCCATTTTCTTTCCAAATTATTTTTGTCGATCTAAAGGAATAAATATGTATAATATTGAGAAGTTTTACTACAATGCCTGATGTACTTTATGAATGTTTAATTGTTTCAGAAAAGTCGAGTAAGGCCGACATTGTGAAAAAGTATGCCAAACAAAAATTCTCCTTAAAGAAACTAAAAAGTTCCTTATTGACCTTCTTCCCTATCAGCAACTGGATCAGGAATTACAATCTTCGAACAGACTTAGTTCCTGACATCATCTGTGGTCTGACCGTTGCAATTTTCCATGTACCCCAAAGTTAGTACCTAGTTGCTGTAAGAATACAGTATTAACATTACAATTATCAAAAGCATTGAATTTTTCCGGGTTTTAATAGGAACACTCGAATAAAAGACTAATGTCTTTTCTCTACTTTTTGAGTTGCAAAAAATGCTTGCCACGAAATATATACACTAAGTGTTATATGTGCTAGCAAACAACAAGTGAATATTCGAAAAAATTAGAAATGTGTGCTCTTTTCGAAGCAGTCATTGGAATAATAAATTTTTGCAAATCAAAGCTTTGTTTATGCTCATATGTCACAAATTAGTATCAAATCATATGTCGCAGCTCTCGGATATGCGCTCATCGTCGGAGTCCCCGCTATCAATGGTCTTTACACGGCCATGTATCCTATGCTCATGTACGCAATCTTCGGTACCTCGCGTCACAACTCGATCGGAGCATTAGCTGTTATCTGCATCATAAGTAGTAAAGTGGTTCAGACTTCTCGCAGTTCATTCTCTGATATTTCTCCTATCGATGTGGCCAGAACCCTCGCTTTTTTCGCCGGTATATTTCAGGTATGCTCGAGAATTGCCTAATGAGTTTATCGGATGCTGTTGGTAAATGCTCATTAGTTATGTTGCGTTTTTTTGATGCCAACATACTTAACTAAAACTGTTTAGTAAAGGCACGACATTAAATTCTGGCGACATATTTCCCGAAACATACTATATATCGATTAATTGAAATATATTTTAATGCGTAGCTTACCCACCAACATTAAATTGAATCCGTTTTGCTTATTTGTTAATTCCTGTTTACAGCTGCTGTTTGGCTGTTTGCATATGGGTAGTTTAAGCGTCTTTCTAAGCGACCAGTTTGTCTCAGGATTTACTGCCGGTGTCTCCGTTCATATAGGGTCCTCTCAGCTCCATGGACTTGGATTCAATGTATCAAAGCACACTGGAGCGTTTCCTTTAATTCGGGTAATAATACATTATTCTACATTTTTTCGTATAAAAAAAAATCCTTTTATACCGTAAATACTTAAAATTTTTACCGTTCTGCCCAGTATGCTGCCGACAACGGAAAACTATTGATTGCTTGACTTCACATTTAATTTGGTGTTGTGGTGCATTTTTTGCTTTTAAATCTCCCAGTATCATCGGTTTTCAAGCATAAATTTTATCCTTAGGCATCCACTCGAGAAAACCTTTATTGGTGTCAGAATACCCTATGGGGCTTTGTCCAATATTCCGATTACCATCAAGATATGCTCTTATATGATAATAATAGTATCTAGGTGCTACATACTGTTGAAATTCGCCATCTTCACCAAGATCTTCCCGAATGCGTAATAAACCAGACTCTTGTAATGTCAAAGCCCAGTTATTAGCACCAATCATTGTATTCCCATGAAAGTATTGTACAGTTAATCCTTTACTTAAAACGCCGTACCATACTATAATGTCCAGTAAATTTACATGGTATTTCTGTGCAACATGTAGATTTACAGTTGCCTAGTAAGTGTGGTTACGTCGACTAGTTATGACATTTGATCTCAATGTAGCTTCATCGTTTCAAACAATTTTTCCCAAAACTGTTCATACCAACCCCATTTTTCCATTTGCATACCATTTGCAAAATAATTTTATTTAGTCTAAATCATCTTTATTGAGGATATGTACTATCTTTTCCATTTACGACATCTTAAAACGCAATGGGACCTTAATTTGTTGATGCTTAATTCACGACGTGACTGTCGTACGAATGGGGTGCCTTACTACAGCCTTCTAACTAACTTTATAATGCTTACTTAGCTAGTAAAGCCCTAAATGTTCTTGGCATTCCGAAATGTTGCTTACGAATATCTTGACAATACCAACCGCTTACAACTTATTTTTTCATCTGGTTCATTGCGAGTTGCGTACATGAATCTGCCTGAAGCGGCCGACTATATCGTTATTGTAGTTCTGTTACATTTCCTTATTTCCAAAAACATTTTAAAATACATTTCCCTCATAGAAATATTAATGTTAGTCCATTTAATATTACACCATAAAAACAAATGACGATCAGAAAGTTATATGGCCCGTTAATTAGCGTATACATATTTAGAACAACCTATATATATGCATATATATAGTTGGCAGTATTAATGTACTAATTTATTTGTTCCTTTCTCTGTTACAACAGACATACACCGACTTATTTAAGAATTTAGGCGATACCCACTGGCAGACTCTCGTCTTTAGTGTCATTATTATTCTGATAATTCTTGCGGTAAAAATCTTAATCGATCCGTATCTGCTCAAGAAATTCCATATGCCACTGCCCATCGAGATGATTGTTCTGGTACTCAGTGTTATTCTATCCAACACTATGGATCTCAAACAACACGGCTTTGATGTGGTCAAAACGATTCCCAACAGGTAAATGCGCTTCTATAATTCTAGTTATGAACTTTTTTTATGAACCAACATTACATGCTTGACGTCGATAAACGTTTCCGAGCAGACGTAGGCTTGGGACAAAGTGGCTAGAACAGTTGAAAAGCCATAATCTTATAGCTATTCATATGTTTATTTGAATATGCATGACTATTACCAAGGATACTTAAGTTCTCTACGATGCAATGCTTGCTTATTATATGAATTATGAGTTGGAGGGAGCAGGAATATGAATAATTATTATTACATGAATCGTTGTTGGACCAGAATTCCGTGCTGTTATTTACTAGTCAACATTTTTCTCACATATATACTTATACATTTAGTCCAACGCGGTGTATATTTTACTGTTTAACAATTGCATTTCCAGCCAATCTATAGAGCCTATTGGCTAAAGCGGACTTCCATGTTGTAATACAACTTGTAACAACTATAATACCTATTCGCGTTGGGGAGAAAAAGATTCAGAGAACCTCAGGACACACATCGTGTTCATTTTCGTAACATAGGACAAGTAAGCGAATCGACAACGCATGATTTATCTGAGTACAAATCGGCTCGACTCAATATAAATGTCGCACTGGGTTATTCATCCGCCAAGATGTAATGCACCTGCTCATGTGTTTCGTGTAGTTGAGCTGTTCCTAAACTCCTTGGTTTCAGAATTTATTTACGCAATTAACGTAACTAAAATATACAACGTCTATGTTTATTATTTCATTAGACCTAAACTTAACGTTTCGTAATTATCGATCACACGTAGTGTCCAGAAACCCACCATACCTGTCCTCCGAATCGAGCTAATCAACTTCATCTTGGTGGACGCAGTCCTTGTGGCAATTGTGTCGTTCACTATTGGAGTATCTTTGGGACGAATTTGGGCCCGCGAACGGGGCTACGAAATACAGCCCAACCAGGAATTCTTTGCGCTTGGCATTAGCAACTTCTGCGGTTCACTGTGCGGTTGTTTTCCGGTTGGGGCCTCGGTGCCTCGAAGCTCACTGCAGTTCTTGGCAGCTGGCCGAACACAGTTGGCAAGCTTCATAAATTCAGGCGTGATTCTTTTCGTTATCCTCGTCATGGGAAAATTTCTCGAGGGGCTTCCTGTAGCCACCCTATCAGCTATCATCATTGTATCACTGAAGAAGATCTTTATGCAGGTCCGAGACTTCAAAAGTTTCTGGAACCTGTCGATCATTGATGGGGTAAGCTAGCTTTGTTACGTTATTTTTTTCTGTATTGGTGTACAACTCTTGCTGATAGTAAAGAAAGACGCATTTGGTTTTTATCTCTGCAAGCTAATGGCATCTGAAACAAATTTCTTGGTAAAAGATATCTCAAAGTGTTTATACCATATTTTTTTTTACCATAGAGTAAATACACCCGATCAGCTTTAGCTATTGGTTTCTGAGTAATTGTTTTATCTGTTATAGCACGTATGGCTGGTGTCCTTCTTCGCTACAGTTATCTTAGACACGGTTTATGGGCTTCTTATCGGAATCTTATTCTCGTTGGGGACGCTTGTCTACAAAGTTCAGAGGCCCAAAACTTTTCTACTTGGAGAGATAGCAAACTCCGAGTACTATGTTCCCATCAAGTTCTGCGCCAATGTGAGTAAATCTTTTGAATTTCGAGGCATTGTTCGCTACTTCTCTTAGTAACCTGTTGTCAGGACTCATTTGAAGTAAAATTGATTTAGAGTAAAAACTCTTCGGAAAAAGCTGTTCTTTTAATAGACACCCGTTATCAACTAATGCACATTAATGCTTCACTTCAGGCCCGCGAAATTCCGGGAGTAAAAATATTCCAATATGGAGGCCCGTTACATTTTGCGAACGCAGAATTTTTTCGTACCGAACTGATAAGAAAATGCGGCACCGAATACGGAATATTATATAATCAGGTAAAATTTGAAGCTTTAAGTGAAACATGTAAATTGGATAATAGCTTACATTTTTCTGTGCATCAGTTGACATGCTATTTTCCTTGAAGAGGTTGATTTTAAATAATAACACTAAATGCTCTATATTCGTTCACGTTCAGTATGACACATTTTATATGTCGTTTCTTCTACTGATACCGTATCTCTGTATTCGTGAATGATAGTCGACGTACCGCAGCACTAGTATGTTCACGTACTAGAAGCTTTTGGTCTCCGCTAGGCATTCCTAATTCTATCCGGATCGAACACCAAATACTGAGGTAGTCACCGGTCGTCAAGTAAGCTGTATTTACCATTCGTAGGCCCGCACAATGCAGTTACCACATCCTATTGGAAGGCAAATCAGCCAAAAACAGACGCGATACATTATACTCGACTTTTCACGGGTAACCTTCGTTGACGGTTCATCTGCTCTTCTCTTAAAACAGGTACACAAAAATAATTGCTCTTTTGACTATCATTTTCAAGCCAGCATATCCTATATTCGTCCTTTCATTGTTTCCATAAACATATTTAAAGAAGTAGAGCATCACTTAAAAATACATCCATGTGAAGGTTTTACTTTCTTATCTTATCACAAATATTTGTTGGCTTGCACAAATTCCATAATGCGTTCCTTTGTTTCTTCGTTTTGATCTACATATCTCTCACAGATAATCGATTCAATGAAGTCACGACGTATTACCATCTTCATCGCATCCTGCTCGCCGTACATCTTCTCAGTTCTCAAAAAGGCTGAACTCAGTGAAGTGATCCTCGATACGGATTTCTATCCCACGGTCCATGACGCCGTGATGAATACGCACGTCTCCTACACGAGATCGTCCGGACAGCCAAATCGACATCGACGTTTCTTGACTAGCGATAGAATGGCTTTATCCAACGAGGCGTTCGGTCCTGACAGCCTGCACACAGACGACCATGCACACGAGTCAGAGGAAGACGAACACAATTTATCTCCCAATAGCGACAGGGCAAAAGCAGCAGTACGCGTGATAACGGTAAGCATAGGAAAAATATTAGCGGCCGCGGTAACAATAAAAACGCTTACCTTAAATTTGATCTGACCCAGAAACATTTGGACCCGCTAATTCATCCTTTCCTAATAACTTTATGGTTAAGCTTGTAATGAACAGCTGTACTAAAAGGCTTTAGATATGAAGACCGAAAGGTGAGGTTGATTTGTTTCATTACTTTATGGATTTGTACACAAAAAGGACGCTGACTTACTGTTCATACGTCTACTATTCAGTACATATCTATAGCTGATTTAACAAGCAAGCACTTTAAAATACAAGCAACTTTGAGGTTCGCCTCATGCTATAAAAAATAGGCTAACCCTTTTTACTCTTGTTTAGATTGTTTACAACCTATACAGTTTATTAATGTTTCAAGTTTGCTTTGACTTCATCAAACAAGACCCACGGGGCATCAATACTGAACAGCGCACATCTGAATTATTAATACACTTGTAAAAACAGACTCGCACTCGACGCCGTGTAATAACAAGTGAAATTTTCTTTGTTTTCAGGATTAAAACTTCCCACTTTCAATACTTCTGTATAAAACATCTTGGGATTGAAAAAGATCTTGACTTGAATATGGAGCATATTTCCTCAAATAGTTGCAGCTCTTTTATTATGTCATGTTGCAGATAAAGGGCTGCAATTGTGCCGATAGTAAGTTGGCTCAAGTCTAACTATACTCTAAACGATCACCTAAAATTCCATTGATTCCAAAATAATCCTCCGGGAGATCAAATCCGAAATCTCGCAGTTTATACGCGGGTCAAAATCAACTAGCTTGATAGCTAATTTGATAATACTTACATAGCTATACGAGATGCAAAACGAACATATAGTTTCAACTTGTTGTAATCTATATACACATATATATTCATGCAGATATGTATAAAACTCAAACATGTAATGCAAAATCGCAACAAAATATTATTTATTTCGTTATAGTAACATTCGCACAGCCACTTCACGCCGTCTTTGTGATTTACTTTTGTCGACATTTGTTGATTTGTCGTACCCTCAATTAACGAGACAACTCACAACTACTTCATCAACTTGTACAAAGGTAGGCAGGTAGCTTAACCTTTGTTGCGATTGTTCTTCAGCTTTGATCGCGACAAAAGGTAGGCTTAAAATTAGGGTCTTCGAATGATCTTTAGCTCATTTCGTTCTTGAAAATATGCTCGCTGTTTGGACGCTTCTGCATCTGCGTACTCTGGACTTCTATGTATATGCATAGATTTAGCCGCAATTAATGGAGTTCATGATTTAGTTACACACTGTTCGGGAAAACAAATGTCAATGCTCCGTCATTCCTAGTAATGATAATTCTGAATTTTTCAATTATAGGCAGAATTTTAATGTATGAGCCACCCACTGAATGTACCACGAATCTCCCTCAATTAATGTATGAATTGATTCTAAAAAAATCCTCTAACAAACGCTGTGACATAGGCTACCCAGAATGGCACAAAGCGTTCGGGATCTTTAAAGGTCATTTCATCAGTTAGTACCACAGTTTTGTAAATCGTTTTCTGCTCATTTTCTAGTCGATTTCGCAAGTCTTCATTCTCCGTCACTATAATAACTTGAGATTCGAGGTCACGGTAGATAGACCTATAAAAAGGAAAAAATAATTGTTAGAAAAAGAGCATAGATATTTGAGTTCCACCATACTAAGTCGTCAATCATCTACTTCTACTTTTCACCTATGTGAACCACCGAAATAAATGAAGCTATATGACAGATCTAGTTATTTTTAAACTGCTATTTCAAAAAATAAGTTATTGCTCACACTTATGAATGTACTTTTAGGTAAAAAGTTATAGTGTTTACCGATATCCGAAATTCGGTGATCCAATTAGAGTCATTACAGGTTTGCTTTCACCAGGTGGATAGTACCACATGCCTTTGCCATGAAAAGTCCAACCTTCTCGGTAATATTCCCATATCCGAATACGGTCCCGAACAAATTCGGTTTTCAAGTAAAACAATTTCAATAACTGAGTATATAATACCTGAAAGGCAAATAATATTCCGAGCGAAAATAAATTTCAAACATAACATGGAGTCTAAACGTTCATGAGTAAGTCACACATTCATTGTAAAAGGAACTAGCTTTTAAAATGTATATTATTAACTACTTTAAAAAATGAACTTCAACAGTTCAATGTAGAAATGACTACGATGACAATGACGGCCAATCGATTAAATAAATGAAGGCACTCACCGGTATATAATACATGAAGCCGGGCACCTTATAGAAGCTGTTAGCCCGGGGATGGGCCGTAAGTACATCGAATGAACTCTTCCCTCGAATTATAAGATCTTCATAGTCAGGCACAAGATTAAAATAACCGGTCGCTAAACGGACCTGACTTCCTTCGGGACTCAACTTCAGTACCTCGGACGTAACCTTGTGATCATTTCCAAACTAGATGGGAGACAAAAGCAAATAAACAGAGCGCACTTACAAATGTTTCTACATTATACAACAATTGATCGTGCAAACAAATAAAGGTTTTTACATTCGCACAAAATGAAATAATATTAATCGAAAAAGTATTGACTGTTTTTCTAGCTAAATGGCTTCAAAGTTGCAATCTCTGCTAATATAAGTCGTGCCGGGCCGACCTTAGTATCGTTTAAAAGCCAAGATCTGACCAGCAGTAGATGTGTTAAACCTGCTTTAATTCGCACGCATATTGATCTATGTGAATCACCTTTCGTTCCTCGTAACAAATCGTTTTAAAACTGGCGCGATTTCGTTGCGTTTCTGTAGGGTTTCCCAGATAAAGGTACAATTAACTAAATTCGTCTGTATCAATTCGTATAGCACTAAAACGAGTTTTTTTCTGTAGGCAGCGCTTCTAAAGTAGCTTAAAATTGCTTCATAATGGATGTTTAGTTAGATGATACCGTGGCTACTCACGAGTCAATCTTATTCAACTTTCGCAATCATTTTTATCAACCTTTTACGGAACTTATCGACTACTACGCGAAGTATCCCTCATATTGAAGCTTGGAGAACGAATGGGCCAAAAGCCATTTTTCTGATAACACATCCTCACCAAAAATAACATATATTTTTTTATGGGGCTACTCAGCATTTGTGTTTTTATTGTAGGAAAATTGTATAGTACAGTGAACATTTATTCACAGAAATTTCATTTATCTTCAAGGCGCTCTACCTTAAATCTGAATGGAAGCATCCCACCAATTTAGGCACGTTTACTGCTGCCAGTTAATACCAACGCTGACGAGACTTTCATTACGCGAAATATGTGACTTTAAAACCATATGGCTAAAAAACGATTAATACCTTTTTCTACCAACGTATGTATACACACTTGTCATAGCGGCAATGATATTACCAGACAACAAGGCTACGATATTCGCTATTGTCGAATTGTTGTTGTTGTGTGCCATAATTACTGATATGCCTGTATACATAGTTAGAGTTTTTCAACGTTAATCTCACATACATTTAACTGGCCCATCTGCACGAGAGGGTACACATGGGTGTCAAAGGTCACCTCCTCTTCAGGCCGCTTGTTTGGTCGCACGAAGTCATTTAATAATTTTTGCGTATTTCGGATAAATTTATCAAGCGAGGTTTGGTATGGATGCATTCGACGGGTATCGTCAATCGTAACTCGATTGGCAGAATCTAGATGGAACGAGAACTTGCCCACTGTATCGACCAGCCTTGAGTAGTAGTTGGCCAGCTCGGGTGCGTTCTGGAATAGCACGTAGCGGTCTTGCCTCTGCTCAAAATACTGATCACTTAAATTCGCCCTGGAAATATGGACAGATTATTAAGGATAAGATTCACAAGCTTTATTATCTATGAGAATGAACAATTTCAGACCAAACTAACTATATTTAGAGTGCGTCTGAACTATTAAAACTGTCGGTTTCGTGCGCTTTCAACGTACCCACTTAAGATGACATTATCGTCAAATATATACACCTTGATGTGTTGGAGACCAATTACTTCATTCCATTTGTGCGGTAGCCAGCGAACCAGTCCTCGTAGGAACGGACTATGGTACAACGATACTCGAACACGTTGCGAGCCAAATTCATCAATTAATGGTGTCAGCATCGTGCGTGACGAGCACTCACCGCCCCTAGAACCTCGTGTATAATCGAGAAGCACTGCCAACAAACAACATAAAAGGAAACAAACACGAGTATGGTTGTTAAATGAGTTATAAAACAATTCATCATTCAGCTTTGGCACAAATGATTTTTGTTGTCTCCGAATGGCTCGATCGAAGTTCATGGGAGGTTCATTTTTACAGGAAGCTACCAAAGTGAATCTACCTTTACCCACTGTTCAAGGGAAAGAAATGTTATTATACGCTATGTATAATATAATTTCATGGGAAATTAACTGCTGTTATTATTATTGTTTGCAGTACCAATTGTAAAGAGCGTTCACATTTGAAGCAACGTTGACAAAAACAGCTGATACTCGAACAATATATATAAACTTACCTGTTAGTTGAAGCTTGCCAGGGTTTTTTGCTACAGCCAGGCGTAGGTTTTGAACGAATTTCGCTTCAAGGTCACCTGTACCGAGGTATAAAGCTGCCAAAGTAATTCGTTTCTCCGCTTTCAATGTCAATGTCTGGAAGAAACATTCGATTAATGAGCTTAATACGGATATCGTAATTACTAGTGTACTAATCTGGTTCGTAGCCACGGCTTAATTTGCATCAGAATGCGTTCAATCATAGTTATAAATTGTGAGCAACTAGCGCATGAATTACCATTTAGAAATCCAGAAATACCATCCAGAAAACCAGAAAATATCAAGGAGGTGAAGCTCGTCAAAATCGTTATTGACTACTTACATTGAGCATCTGATAAAACTGGCTCGGTTCGTGTAGCACTTGGACGTTTTTCCCATGTACTCCAAACACAGGACCAAATCTTGAGAGCCATCGAAAATCGCTTAGAAATCCCATCTTAGCATTGAGCTCTCTATAAATAACAAAAGGACACTTTTTTGTGAATCTCAAAATTCTCAGGCGACGTCCCGCTAGGTCACGACTATATAACGATTTTGTTTGATATTATATGCGGATAATCAACTGTTCACGTAGATCGCTTCATATTATTGGCATACTTCAAACGAAAAACTTAGGTAATCTGGCGTTCTGGTAGATGGTTCTATATGCCTCATTTCGATGAATCGTCTATTGCTAATTCAACTATATATTACCTATACGCTTGTGAGATCGTTCGTTGTAAAACGGTAACTCGCCTTCGCAGTGTTCTTCCGAAACTGTCTGTGGTAACCTGCGCAACAACCGATGTTTTGGTAAGTGATCAGGTCACAGCAAACTGCTGTAAATATTCCTGTCTGCCCTGTTAATTTTGCAAAGAATAATCTAAATATAGATGTAGGCATTAATGATCCAAGAAAGTTTGGAAAATCGCGTACAGGAAACAAGGGATTTCTTAATGGTGCAAAAAACAAAAATATGCTGATAACACATATTAAATCGAGTGTTTGTAAATAAACACCAAATGTTTTATGTCACTTGCAACTTATTAAATTGCATGTTCATTCAAGATTATCTATACTGCTATTGTCCTTTTTGTTTCATCATTAAGCAGGCCTTCGCGAGACTTCAAAATGCAAAAGGCTATGTCAAAGTAATGAGCCCCACGTTATGGCGGAACTCAGCACTGAAAATATAATCAGAAATAAATAAAAAATGGCGCTGGTGCCAAAGTACCACATATTTTCAATTTGATCACTAACTGACTAGAGGCTTCGATTTACATTTTATCTTCTCAAATGAAGTCAGATATCTTTAAAACATTTAGATGTAGTACATTCTAAATGCGTGGACACTTTAGCTGCCAGTAAAACGATCCGAAAAACAACTATTGTTGTGCAGCTCAATTAGACTGCAATATCGAGCTTTATGTGAGTGAGTTCCTAGACGATTAATTATATCTGCTATAGTGCTAACAAAAATTAGCCATACTATCTAAACCGTGCAACTTTGCACTGCGCTTCTGCTTCATTGTTTCTTACGTATTGAGTGTAACTGATGAGGGTAACATTTTTATCCATGTAAATTAATAATAGAGGCTTCGAATGATCTTAATCAATGCTTGCATGTCATGCGAAAAGAACTTTACGTCGTGTTAGAATGAACCTAAAACATACATATGTGTCTTTCCAGAATGCACTTTTGAACACCTTCATGTGCCTTCCTGTAATAGGGGAAGCACGGTTCTGAAAAAAATACGACGCAATGCTAACGCACTTATTCAATACAATTTTCTAGAATTCTAACACAACAATGACCTTAGTATACAAACACTATTAATTTGCCGCATATATATTCAACGAATTTCAGACAGTACTTGATTTTTCAGCTGGTCCATCAAAACACCGATTTCCTGTCATTCAAGATTTCGTCAATATTCCCCTTGTTGATCACTCGTTTAATTAATAGTATCACAAGTACTATTCTCTATATATTATCTCAAACAGGAGAATATCTTGCGCAGTGGGACACTGGCAGCTCATACAGTTCTGTTTAGAGTTTTCGCGCAGACCACCAAGTACCGCGCAAAAGCTGATTAGGTCGCGCATATTCTAAAAGCCTGCTAGCTAGGCAATGCCCTTTGCAAAAGTCATAGTTCAGACTTTCGAGCTACCCTTAAGCCGGCGACCCTGTTGGCATACGCTACAAAGCTACCAAACAATGACCTACCTTCAGGTTTTAACAGGCCTTCGGGCCAGCACGGACACAAACAAAATTTCTCCTTCTCCAATTAGGTTTGAACCCTTTTGTTGGGCCTTCCCGACATCCCGCCGGTAGCATCACATAAAGAATTATAGCAAGGAAATACAGATGGGCGGCGCCATCTTGTCTAGATGTTCTAATAAACGCGGCGTTTTTTGAAAAACCTGAGTGTGGAACTCTCGCCTGCTACGTGCCGAATATTATTTATAAAAACACAGGCCACGTATAGATAGCAATCTACATATAAAATAAATTAAGGCTGATTTAAAAATACGATACAATTACTACTTCGACAGGTGGCCTAACCTTAGTAATCTAGCAAAATTAAAAAATATAAAAAGACTTGCATAGGGTATCAAACTTACTTAGCATTGTTTAATCCTGATATAAAAAATGTTTCCAAAGGAATTTGGATTCTTCGTTCTACTAAATAAATAAAGTAAATAATATAAAACAAGTATATTTCTTTAAATTATAGTCAAAAAAGTATACCTTTTTTGACTATAATTTATTTATTAGACTTTTTTATTAACCTTCTTTATTATTTTCTGAACCAAAAATGAGATTAACAAATTAATTCAGTCAATAACCAATTAGCTTTCAACTACATTTAGAAAAATTTCCTGGGTAACTTGTATGTTAAAGGGATCTAAAAAGGTTTGATTTAAAAAAAATACGTTTAGCTGATATAATATTTTACTCCATTCAGCTTTTTTAAAGATTATATAAAATACCATGAAATCAAATTATTCATCATTAAATGCTGAATTATTCTTTATTAAAGTTATAAGTGATTAGTGTATAAAGTCAAGTAATACAACATGTGTAATGCTACATAGAAAAGTGAAACTTTGTACTGTGCCAGCAATTGCTGATTTCTTCCAATCACAATTTTATTGATCTGGAAATTACTGCCAGTCACTTTCCGTTGTTCTCAAATAAAAACTGGAATACCTTAGAACCGTAATTATCGAAGCCCCATATGGCCATTTTCCAGGATGTAATCCTGGTGATCAAAACGCAGAAGGATACGTAAAACTGAGCAACTTGATTTTTGGATTCATATTAAATAGAACTTCGAAAAACAATGCTATGTATTACAAAATTTGAATTCGAACCCAATCGCTACCCTTAACTGCACTTGAGAAAAGCTAAAATAGCCTAGCTTAAATAAAAGATCCCTAATTTACTTTTATAAAAAAAAAATCCAGATTATTACTATAATAGTTAAGTAGCTTTATATATAAAACATTCGATCTAAAACTAAGCCAAAATTGGCTAAAGAGGGTTCCAGTTACATTTTTCGCGTATATCCTTAAAAATTTTCAATGGCGAGAGCCTTATCGAGTTTACACTCAATACTCACTTCAACTGGTCTAATGCTTATTGCTACAGTCGAAAATACCATTTTTGTTTTTCTACTAGACGATATTGAATTGGCGACAAACTAAAAGTTAAAGGCCTTTATTATGGAAAACAACATATAAGTATTTCCACTAAATAGGCTAAATTTGTGTCGACATTAAGAGCTGAGCAAGTCGCACGAAATTAATAATATCGAAACAGCAAATTATTACTTTTTTTTTACCACTGCTCCGTTTTTACGTGAGAAAATTGAAATGGTACTAGTTAACTGTAAAAGAATGCAAATGATTTTAACGCAATAGGCAAATGTTGGACTTGATGTGTGAGTAGGTTTATGAATCATGCTTCTGGTTCATAAACCTAGGCAGTTAACTTCAAACTGAGAATGGCGACTGTTGAACATTTGGGACATAGGAAAAATAAAACATCTACAAAAGGCAAGTTACAAATATGTGTACGGGGTCGATAGGGTCATCTGGAATACAATTTTCTTAACGTGACCATTTAAACAACAGTGGTCACAGGGCAGAAACGTACTTATAGTCGAAGCGAAGGTAGGGCTACAGAAGCCACTAATAATTTCAGTCATTTAACAAAGCTAGAAAGAAAATGCTTATTGTCACAGAAAGGGCCGTGATTAAGGCTAGAGAAGGTGACTCAGCATAATGATTTATCTCGAAAATAAATATCATATCTAATCCATCGTGGATTATTGTGGATCTCTGAGGCGCAGTGCGAAACCGAGTTCTGAATGCGCCAATTATCGGCATTTCCAGGAGTTCAAGGACAGTATCTCAAAAACGCATCGCACTCCCATATAGTAGACTTGATCACAACAACGTGTCTAACTATCGAGGAGTCCTACGAGTTTGATATAAAAACGTGTCTATATTTTTTAACCTTAGAAGTAATATATATATATATATATAGTGAAAAGTTTCAAATTGTCAAGAGGTTTTTGTCCCACCCTACATATACAACCGCTAGAATAGTCAAATAGTATAACTGAATACGGCGGCTTCTCTAAAACGCTTTGTAATAGACGCAACTCATTCAGAAAAATTTACCTTATATTTTGTTTCGTCAAATCAGGTGTGAGAAATGCACAAAATAGCCCCATATTTAGATATATGGTCAAAAAGCTCCAGTCGACTAACATCGAGTTTTTGGCTCTGGCATATTTCAAGGATGCTACAAGTTTTACAATAGGTTTTATTAAAAAAAAAAAACGTTTTTTTTTTGTTAAAATCAATGAAGAGCCCTGGAGCTCTATTTTCTGTGTTGTAGCGACTTTGCTTTTGACCCTAAATCCACCTTCTTTCTAATCGTAAATATATTTTAAAGAGAATGCATTAATAAATCGTTTCGAATTAGCAATATTTTGTATACGTAAAAAACAGCAAAGGTTTTGAGATAGAAATGATCACCATGGACTACCCAGACAATAAACCTATGAAAAGCGGAAATAAGTGCCCCAAGCAGAAAATCTTAACATATCATTTTAATAATTTCCATTCTGTTCCTTTAAAACGACTTATGTGTTTCGTAACCTTCTTTTGTCTCTCACTCCGTTTGCTCCCCTCCCATGTCGCCGTCGTGCCCTCTCCACTTCGACACCCATCGCCCGCCCGCCCTTTCCGAATATTATCGAAATAGTAGTATGAATGAGCACAGTAGGAATGATAATACTGCTGACTAGCTAATTCGGAAAATCTGACTGCTCGTAGTAGCTGTCAATCTGGCTGTCGCCGCGCGGTTTTCATGGCAACAGGGCCGTGTTTTTGACTGAAAGCAGTTCGCACAGTAACAACACTGTCTTGCGCTCTTCTCGATTGCACTAGCGAGTCAGCAATCTCTATGGTGCTTCCTCGGTGTGTTCTCTGCCTAGCCAGTCTACCTACCACTCATCTGTACCGTGTAGCGCCCGACCACGAGACAGAGACCTAATGCTAACAGGTTACCACCAGTAGCGGTACCACGAATCTACTGCCTCCCGTACCTTTGCCTGGCCGTGTAGTCTCCGGCCTAAGACAGGCCGGTTCCAGTGCTATTAATGTCAGCAGTTTGACACAGCCATGAGCTGCGTTGCCTCTGGTGCCGAGTGGCTGTGAGTACCATTAGTGCCATTGCGGCAAGCGGCCGCTGCTGCCGCCGCCGCCGGCGCCGTCGTCACTCTCATTCTGGGAAGAGTCGTTTGCGTTCTCTCTCTTCCTTGCGGTAGCGGCTGCAGTAGTGTCTGTATCGGCAGCAGTTCGGTGCACGATCCCGCACGCCGCGAGGCGTACACGCTTTGGCTGAGTTTCCCGGACAGACAAACAGACCGTCCGTCGAGGTAGCCGGCCGGCAGCAGAAGTAGCGACTCCCTCGCTAATCGATAGCCGCTGGTGATAGAGTAGTCGGAGTTTGCGGCTCGCGTATTTCAGATCTTATTGGATTGGAAGTTTGATTTGTTAAGACGAAGAAAGACGCGGTGCTTTGACGTGCAGTGTCATGTAGTATTGTTGTGCGCAGATTTGATCCGCTCGCAGAAAGTCAGGTGTGTACGCGCTAAGTAGCCGCTTACTGCTGTCTGTTGTCTGTTTCCCGCATACGGTGCTGTTGATAGTGGCGTTGATGGTGACTGAAGATAGGTTTGTCACCATTAAGTGGCTCCTTCTAGTACGGATAGCTGCAAGGGTGTTCGTGGTCGTATGTTAGTGGGTCAGCTAGTGATAGCCCAGTTTAATTCTTGAGCGTCTCCGCCATGCGTGCTGACGCCAGTCTATCAGTGTTTCCTATAGAGACTATGCAGCGGTAGGTTTCACTCGAAAATACAGCCGGCAGAAGTAACGAAATAATTGGAACGAAATTGGAGAGCGCGTGCAATATGCTTGACTATGATAGTCTCCTATTAAAAAAAATATTTGTGTGCCAAGTTGTTACAGCGGCCCGTTCTATTTTCTTTCAAATGTTGTGGCCACATATTTCTCAGCGCGGCCTTAAAGCCCCTTCACTGACGAAGCTATTAGGTGCCATTCAATCGCCAGTGTTCCTAGCAGAGCTGTCACTCGTCGCCTGATAATCTCCCTCGGTGCGTGGCCGTGACGACGCCAAACGTTGCGACCTAATGGAGCAATTGCGAACTGTCTTTTTCGCAGAGCATCTGGATAACAACACTGAGAGCAGCACCTATTTTTGCAAGTTTTCCTGCATTCTAGCTTCTCTTATCGATAATCAGTGCCATAACCGCTATTCACCCGCCGCCTAACTCGGGTCAAGGGTATCACTTGTGTAAACACCCAGATGGACAACATGAACAACAAGCGAAAATAAAAGAAGTATTTCGAAATGACATCGAAATGGTAGACGCATGTTTGTCGCATTGGGCTTTGTGGTAGCGCGATACTGTTCGTGATTACTCGATCGTGTCTGTAACAACGATAAGAGTAATTGCTGCGCAGAAGAGTTCCCTTATGCGTGGCATGAAATTGAATCGGATCTAGAAGCGTTACTCGTGAGTACTAGCTGGGTCGAAAAATCTCCGCCACCTCGTCAGAATTTTGGCATCTTCAACAGCTGTTTGCTTGTACACGTTGGTGGCTACCAGGCAATTTGCCGCCAATAGTCAGTCAGTCTTTTGGATGACGGGACGTCGATACTCTGCTGTACTACTGCAATAACAGCTGAAGACGAAAAAATAAAAGAACAAAAAATGTATACGCCACGCCGTTTACTGATGGCGTGTGGCGTTTGAACACGACCCAAACAAAATTCATTGGCACAGCTCAAAGATAACAGATAGTCGAAAAATTGCCTGCCAAAGCTTCGAGCGGTACGCTGTATCGCCTGGCAGCAATGCATTCAGAGATATTGGTATCATATCTTATTGGTACCTCGTCTATTCATGAGTTGTATGCGATTCATTTGAAGACGGTGGTGCATGCAGGTTGTTTTTCATTCCCCTAGAATCAAGCCTCGAACGGAGACAACAGGAGTGACTTTAATCGCCGTTATTTGTTTATCATTGTTGGACAACTAAAATTCGAGAATGGAACTCGATTCGGAGTCCTACGAGTGCGTTTTACGCGCTGCTACGCGGGATACCTCTGGCTGATTGAGACGGCTACCGTCGTGCCGCCGATCAAGACCATTGCATGCACGAAGAAAGCACCATGCGATAAAAGGTACGTCACTAAATGCTTATAATAGGTGCTTAGGTAACGGCGGGGAGATGTCGACTATGACGGTAATACTGGTTCAAGACTGGTCGAGTGCTCACGTCATTGTGTAGGACACAGGCTCGCAGCACTTGCTTGCCCCCTTTATTATTGATAATTCTTATTAGAGCTGCTTCACTCCTCGAAGACATACACTAAATAGACGGAATGATACAACGTACTGAGGTCACATGTGCATAGGGTGTTACCCGATAACGTTCAAGTTTACGTCGTTCATTCAACAAATATAAGCTGGCCGGCCGTCACGGTCATGACGAGTTTGATTAGCAGCGAACTCGCTTCCGTTCGAGTCGTCTTTTTTTCGCATATATGTGCGGGTTCCATTTTCGGTTATTCAATCTAGAACGCCATCAGGTGGTGGGGAAAATTTGGGGGGAGACGAATCATGCACGTTAGCGGGAAAATATCATAAGCTAACTTGACGCTGCGCTGCGTCGACGCATCCTGTCGATATCCGTAATTTAATACTAAAAGCTGAACTTTTTCAATGTGCTTTAATCAGCTGGGTAGCTGATTTTTTTAGATAGCGAAAAACGCCGATACGAGAATCTTTGTCGGGCTTTTACAGCCCCGTCTTGATCAAGATAGTCTGACGCAATATACTAATGTAAAATTCAACTTTTTACTGTTAAATTATTTCTCCAAGGACACTGACACGACATGGTGGTACAGCGTTGCTTTCTGCTGTTTTTCTGGTATTAGCCAAAACGCGCTGTTATATGTTTGAAATAGGCCGTTTAACCTCATAGCGTCCGCACCACATAGTGATACGCGGAAAAAAATAAGGACGACCAACGGGAAGCGAGTTCGTTGCTAATCGGAATCTTTCTGAGGTATGACGGCAAACACCTTACGTGCGTTTAACGAATACATTAAGCTTAAACGTAGACGTGACGTGGTTCATTAGGTAAACCAAGGGCGCATTGTTGCTATCTTCTCCCCTAATAACCAACCGATTACGAGTTTGTTTCTAGTTGATTTTACCTACCAGTATTACCTATGAATAGTATTAATATTCTATCAGCTTTGTACTGCGTTCAGATTTCAGATCACTTTGGTACTGATATTAAAAAAGAATCAATCGGACACACGGTTGTTCGTTAATCTTGCGTTACTGTCTCGCATAGATTTTGCTTCGAGTTGGTGAGGACCTACACCAATTTAAAGGTTGCGAACCTTAGCGCCTTGTTCGCAGTTAAACTATTGCTATTAGTGTTTCGTATGGCTACAAGAATACAAGCACGAGTGTATATTACACTGCACTAACTCTATGCATGCTTTTATATCATTTACTCTATACCTGTCGTCAGAAGCTCAAAAAACAAGCCAGTACAGTTTAGCGTCCGATCGATTGTTTTCGATAACCGAGCGCTTCGGTCGCTTTGGCAATCGCTGAGGCAGGGCTAAGCTTGGGGAACGGTGTTGCCTTTTCCGACTACGCTATCGCAGTTCTGTATACTATAATAGCAGGCTATCGGTTTGAGTAATTACGACCTGAAAAAGAGAAGGAAACACAGACACGAACGACACGTTTGCTAAGTCCTCTGGACAAGCGGTGCGTGTTAAGTCTGATGGTAGAGTTTGAAGAAAACGGTTTTGCGCTGTTTGTGAACTGCCAGTGTACACGTAAAGCTGACGTCGTTCAACGCTGGTGATGCAGTGTTGAATGCCTGCCATGAATTTAAAACGCCGTGAACGTAGAACAGCTGCTTCGAGTGTCCCTAGGTAGTTTTGTTACCGATAGAAACCTCAATTATACCACTAGCGTGTACACAGCTGTACAAAAGAGATACTTACTCGTTAAGTGGATTCTAAAAGACATACGCGCTAAGCAATGTCGCCTTGAATACTATACACCCAATAGCGATATATGACGGTATATATGACGTATGTATAGGAGTCTGCATCACTACGTATTTGATCATATCAACATATGTACAACAGTATTTTTTCGAGCATCTCTTTGCGACTACACGCGTAAAGCTTCATCAGTCATGTTACCATTTATTTAGTGAATCGATACTCGACGCCTACGATAACTACTGCCATACAGACGTGGGTCCCTTAGTCGTCTTTACGGTGAAACAAACGTCTTTGCGGCGCGTCTACTTGCTGCAGAAACTATGTTTCATCATCAGAGAGAGCTCGGCCATTTCTTTCAGTGAAACCCGCCCAGCAGGATCTCTGAGAAAAGTGAAAGAAGCCCTATCTGATTGGGACCTGACTGCCACACAACCGCTAAGGAAGGCTACTAAATTTTGGAGGTAGCTGAAACTTTGACAAACGAGTACACAAAGCGAAGACCCCCCAAAAGTACTGCTAGAAATGTCATCCTATTTTTTTCATCATCGTCTTCCTTTCCGCCAAGCAAGAGAGGGCTTCTTTAAGAATACAAACGAAGGCAGGAGAAAGTACGAATATTTTTATTTAGTCGTTGTCAAGCTATGATTATAGCTATACCGGAATGTCTGAGATCTATTCGGATCTGATTCAAATACGATACGAACATTAGTTAGGCCAAAAGGCAGTGGCGAAGTAAAGTTGCAGTACAGAGGGAATATTTATTTACTTTGGTTTCAGTGGCAGGTGGATGTCATCCCGTTACCAAATGTTTCAGCTAAACATAGTGTTGATTCTACTCGCAGTATATACTATTTCGCGGGTTTATAGTTTAATGTACGCTGGTAGACACAATGACTTCTGAAACCCTCAAACAACACAGTTGTCATCAGTTGATACGTACATATGATAGCCATAAAAATAGCTACAAACGCTTTGGCTTGCGTTTATCAAGTATCATATAGCAGTGAGTATTTGTAACATAGACTGTCGATATACCCACGATGAAACTCGACCGGAACATACCTGTGAAAAACAAATGCCGTCAACTTTGGCGGGCTAGACTACACATAGACGAGGTGAACCACAGTGCAGAAATTGAATACTAGTGGCCATTATTACAGCCGTATTTGAGTCATGTGCCTATTTAAAACGAGGAGCACGAATCTGTATTCGTCTGAGGCAAACCCGGTGGATTCGTACGCTGCCGCGTTTTCGAAACGGAAGACACTTCTTTTCAAGGGCGAACCCATATTGTGAAACTAAGCTGTTGCAGTGCTGTTACACGCAAATAGTCCACGGAGGGCAAGGTACAAGAGAGAAAACTCGGAGAAACAAAGCGGGGGCGAAGGACGGCTTTAGGCTAGTTCGCCGTTTAAATTTCTTCTATTGTAGTTAAGCCATGCATAACGCGAAGCATTCACAACATATGTATTTGTCTTATTGTTATTTTCGGTGGTCCAGCAAGTGCACCGTTAACATCAGCCACTGTCAGAACAGAGGTCAGCGAACCGTAGAACATCAGGCTCAGCCAGCTATGCCTAAACGTTAAGGTAATAGGAACAGAATATGACACTGTTCCATCTGTCCTGGACAGTTATGACTGGAATCAGTGCTCGTTTGGTGCGCCTATCCTAGCAGATAGTAACATAAGCCGGACTGCCATCATCTGTGTGGACATTGTCATGATATAGATAATAGTAGCTATGCACAGCAGGAGATCAAATAGTGGCCTCGACTGGGCCTGTTTCCACATAAACCGAACGGATGGATACGTTGCCTGGAATACATTAATAATTGTATACTAATATGTCCTAGTGCAATAAACTATATTGCCGTCAAATGTGTGTTGCTAGATAAAGATAGAATGCCCATTCAGATAATAATATTAGACGATAGAAAGGCGCACCGTGCACTGTGGTTACGTCTACAATCGATTAGTATTTAAAGTAAGCCAGAGAGGTGGCTTTTTGTGGGACAAGCAAACTTCGTTATCGAACAAGTTGAACTTTTATAAAATGTAAATAATCGGTTGTGATATATGATTAGATCATATCCGGAAAATCCGGGATAGGAAAATAGGAATCAAAACATACATATGAAAATTATTTTGTCTGAAAGCAATAACTCAATTCCGGGGGTGAACGGAGGGGGATGGGTGGGGGGTCAATAACATTTTCACTTTTATTGACGAATTAATGTGTGCAATGTTGACACCAACCTGCATATCTCAGTATCGATAGACTTGAAAATCCATGCCTAAAGAAACTGGTTGACCTCGAGGCTATCGAACTTCCAACATATCGTTCATATTATTGAGGTTCGTATTTTTTTTAGACCTCTTCATTATAGGTTTCTATATTTAGTATATATATATAGTGTTTTTCATATATATTTTATCAAAGCGTCGTATATTAAAATTATTAGGGTTTTTTTATGAGAACCCACCAACAACAGTGTAATGTAATTGCCAGCAATAAAATTGTTCTTGAGTTTTTTGAACTGTTTATTTGAGTTTCTTTATTTTGTTCTGGGAAACGGTTTAAGTACAAGTGCGGAGGGTTGTGAAATAACCCTCCGCACTCCCTCGTACCCCCCTCGTACTTCTTACGCCATTAATTAAAAAATCATTGCAACAATATTTTGAGTTGCTAATGAGGCGCTACGATGACGAGCAGGAATATTGTTTAAGAGATTTTTATATGGTTATTAGGAAAAAAAAATCCTCTAAGAAATCAAATATAAATTTCATGTCTTATGTCACTATGCCGTTTTTTACTAACTTTTTTAATTTCCAATTAAGTAACGTGGTGTACCATTTCTGTCTGTATATTAATTTCTGATTGGTTCTCTTAATTATCAGAGGCCTCTACTTAATTAAGCGAAAAACGTGATACGCCCTGCTTGATGAATAATTTAATGATGAATGATACAGATTGTACATTTGCGTGAAATATTTACTAATATAATAGTTTACTGAGCTATATGGTCTTAAACGAACCTCAAAGTTGACACCTATGTCCGATCACAGGATCGCTTACAGCGGCTGATGGAAGATTCTTCTCTGCTATTTTTTTTATTACACCCGGCTTTCTTAATGGCGCCAA